ATGTCAGTCGGGGCGCGTGTTACTTTTGTGTTTTAAGTCAGAGTATCTACAGCTGTAAAGTACTAGTTAGTTAGCTACACATCTTTACATCGATTGCCCACATTGGTTATACTCTATATTACTTATCGCTAATGCGTGACACCGGAAGGGTCTGGGAGAAACTTTCTTTTTATTCTTGATAAGCAGTTACAAGAAGTCCTAGAATATTCTACATTCTTTCTCTTTTTGTGCTGTGTACTACTCCTGCAATAATAAGTTATCACGGTCTGTGGACTGATGTGAAGCTTCGGCTAGATCCTCAGCAATGGAAAGTTAGGGAAGGACATGGAGTCTTGCTTACGTTCAAGCAACAGAAAGTTCTGGAAAGAAGCACAACGTCTATATAAGGAGGGCAGCACACCAGCGCTTACGAGTGTAAGATTTTTATCCTTCAGTTTAGAATGCTCGTAGCAATAGTCTAGGTCAATGACATCAACCTTGTCTTAGACCCTTACAATAAAAAATGATGATAATATGAATGTGGGTGGTTAATCTTTCACATGGTGATGTCGTTCCCTCAGGCAGGGGCGTCAGCGTTGAATGCTGAGACCCAATACACCGTACGTCGTGTTCAATATAAGCAGACACCATTGCTGGACTCAAACTGATGGTGGCATGCCTGCTCTGTGAGTTGCCTGGGTACTCGGCTGGACGTGGGGTTGGCGGATTCAGCACGCACATTACTATGAGTTCCTGCCTCTGAGGACGCGCTGCGCTAGGCTGGGCATCTTTAACATCCCTAGCACAGGGCGCTATCCCATCGACTGCTGCATGACGTCGGTGTATCTGTCAGATAAGGCTATCCGAATATGGATATGTCAGGCACAACGATTGCATATCCAAGGTATGCATATAACACCTATATCTCCGAATATTCCGATGTCGGATTCCAGCGAGAACACACCGACTTTTCCTTCTTTTATCATCATCATCATTATCATCATGGATTGATCAATATACACGCTCATTCAATTATCCTCTATGTTGACTGCCTCATACACACTCTTGTGACAGTATCGATATGCGAAGAAAACTGGGTCTCCAGCCTATTCCGACCAGTCAAAAAATTCGAAAAGGGCGAATTGGGAGAAAATGCGGGTCATCTTGTACTGACATCATACAGCAGTTGATGGGATACACAGGCGAGTTGAGGGCGGCATGAGTATGTGCACTGTACCTTCTGATGGATGACTATGGCTGAAGTGGAAAAAAATCCCGAAGCTGATTATTCTGGTTTGGATATATGTAGAGTCTTTTCGCTTCGAGCGACCTTTTGTAGTGGGGTTGCGTATAAGCAAGATGATTGCAGTTTTGGCTGTTAGGCACTTTTGGGCTGCTACACCCCCATACCTTGGGCTGAGAGTCAGAAGTAAAGGTAGGTGGCTTTGCTACCTTCAAGAGCTATTTTAGGTGAAAAGCCAGTTCTGGCTTCTGCAGCTGATGTACTGTTTTCCATAGAGAAGTACCCCAGCCGTTTGGCAATGTGCCCCGTACGCGCCAAGACCGACTGGTCTGTGCTCAACTAAATTTTTAGACTTGCAAAACGGACACCGATTTTGCAAACCTCTGTAGCAAGGAGTCACAAAGTTGCTGCTTCCAATTTCGGTGACGGTGAATATCATTCAACATTATCGACTCGGTGTTCTGATTGCATGCAGAATTTCAGAGACACGATTTCCGCGTCCGTGTGGATCTGCTTCCGGCGAAGCAAATTCCATCGCCCGTTGTGATGGGGGGCCGGCCATTTTGGGTCCCGGGCTTTCCACTGTTCGCCAGACATGCATGACCACATGGTACTACAGGGGTTCCAGCGCTCACTCTTCCTATTGATTGACAACAAAGTATCTTGCAATATGCATTCTTTTCATGCCACGCGGCTCTTCTGGCAATGAGCCAAGCCGTTACCATCACTAGTTAAAGCCCTCGGGCCAGAAATCCTCGAGCCACTCATAAGGTTCTTCAGGCTCGTAAGCATTCAAGACCTCTCCATCATAATCCGTGATCGCGTCTCTGGTCTCATTATATAAGGCGTACTTGAGATCTGGACCATTGCCGATGGTGTAAGGAACTGTCTGGACATTGTTGGCAATTTCCTTGTCCACGATGACTTCCAGGTCTTGAAGCTGTGCATTCTTGAGACGGAACTCGTCGCCGTAGTTTGGATTGATCTTTGGTTTTGTTAGAAAAAAGCCTTCAAATGGCAATGACTCAGGAGTGCCACAGAATACGTACGATGCCCATCCTGATGCCATTCACGGCGACGACGTTTTGGATTGTCGCATTTCTCTTTGCTTGATTGAGACAGTTGCCACAGGACTGATAGAAAGTCTGACAAGAGGCATCATCAGTAAAGTCACGCTAGTATCATAGTCGATTTGCTCACCCCAAAATTCTCAGCGTAGAAGCCGGTGATGTTGTACTTGCCGCCCAGGGAGTTGTCTTTTGTTTGTTAGGTTAGGCTTGGCCCCTGGAACACGTTCGAAGCTGACTTGCCTTGGAAGATCTGGAAGAACAGTATGTCAGCAAACGGCCCGTATAATGTTTATCGAAGACAAAAAAGGCTTTCGAACAGCCCAAAGAGAATTTTTACCTTATCTGTTGCGTTCCGAGCTCCACCGCCGATGACTCGTAGTTGTGTGTTAAGGCCCTTGGATGTAAGTGCATCTTCGCAGACGTCTTCCCACCAAACTATAGGCAGGTCAGATGGATGCCATGCGCAGCATTTGGTGCCATACCATTCTCAACCCAAGCGTCACCCAGTGCATGGATGCCTTCAGCTTGATGCTTGCCGATGATGACGTTGCGAATGGTCGAGCCCGGCAGGAGGTTGAAGACAGCATCAGCATCCGTGCCCTCTGAAAGACCCAGTGTTCGTTAGCCTAGGGTTGACTCTTGTCAGGTGTTCATGTTGACTTGCCTGCTTGTTCGTTGCAGCTGCCCTCAACACGCTCATACCGTTTCATACCACCGTCAAAAACCTGACCGGGAAGAATGTACATTGTCTGTTCCAGGACAACGGTCTCCTTGGCTACAGGGAACTTGGTGACTGGGAATGGAAATCGCGGAGGAGGGCGTTCACCCAGGTCGCCTTGGGTGCTGTCGGCTGAGCCACCAGGTCCGTCCCCGGTTTGGCGTCGGTCAATGACCCCAGCCTGCACCAAAGCAGGCAAGAGTGAAAAGAGGGAGGTAGAAGCGATCTTCATTTCGAGGGTTCCTCAGTGTGGTGTGTGGGCTGGATGTAGACGCTGGTCAAAGAAACCACAGAAAGATGTTTGGGGTCAATTGGTACTTCTGAACAACATTAACAATGTCTCAGGCGGCTCCATGGCCATGGAAAGATTAAGCCTTTATATACTTGTAGATAGCATAAGTTGATCAGGCAAGCATCTGTGGGCATTGAGCTCGCGAAGCTATGTCATTTCTTGATTACGTAGCTAACGAAGCTCTCCAAATGGCGTCCAGGTCTTGACTGCTAGCTACACATGGCTAAATAGCTGTAAGCATGCAGCGGAAAATTGACTTTCTGGTTTCCGTGAATCAATGGTCGAGGATGAGCATGCAAGTCCCTTGGCAAGTGCTTGGCGCTGTCGCCCAAGGCCTAGCTCAAGCTGTTGGCCGAGTACACAACTTGCACATCTATCCCGACAGAGCGGCTCGACCCCAGGTTTTCACTGCATCGGCCGCGTTTGAAAAGATGAGAGAGGTGGAAATTTCCCCAGATGGCGAGAGCTTGGCTAGAGTAATGCCAAGGATTGTAGGATGGGGTTGGACAAATGAAGTGCTTTTTCCTATGGTGTTCTCCTCGAGTTATTTGACCTGAAAAGATTGTGACACTCAAAAATAGACAATGCGTGCGGGGAACAGAGAAAGCAGACATCGAACGCTGGGGATAGGGGAAGTTCAGGTCGTTCTGCTGTTCCTATGATGTTCTTTCGGTGTTACATTCCCCACACTATATCATCTTCAGGAAACGCAGCTCACATTGAGAATTGAAACACACTACCTGCAGTGTCTCAATACAAGCAAAGAATGTAAAAGTAATGATGCCCTTCGTCAAAATGGTGACCGAGTAACACAGCCGCTAGGATCTGTATTTAGGAGGATAGTATAGCCCTACCCGTGGGATTTGATCCCAGGTGAGATGATGTCCATCGATATCGTAGCGACCGTCGACTAGCTCCTCCATTCTAGCCATCCTACTTTCTGTAGCTCTTTTACCGCCAAGAGTAACGCGATCCAGTACTTGATTCAACCACTCCGCGACATCCGTATAGTCAGCAATAGTAGCCTCATCGGCGGCGGTGTGCCCAGCAGCGTTCTTTCTGGCAAGTAGAACAGTAGCCACCATGTAGTCAGGCACCCACAGAGGATCGACATCGGTTTCGAACTCGGGTAGATCGCGACCAATAGGGGCGTAGACTTCAGAGCCGGGCTTGTCAGGGACTTTGTCCCAGTCTATGACCTGCCAGAAGTGTTGCCAGGCCGCATTGATGATGTCAAGACGGCCCATGCGGGCTGCGACGTGGAAGATGGTATCTCCAGCCTTGTTGCGAAGGAAGAAGACGGCTCTGAAGCATGTCATGAACCAGCTGTTGCGACTCCATTCCCTCCCAAAGCTTTGTGCAGTGGCATCGAAGGCTTTGATATTTCCAACAGCGGCTGCGACGTGCATGGCGGTATCACCTGTGTCGGGATCGGTGACCCAGCGCATCTAGTCCTCGAAGTTGAAGTCGTGGGAAAGGTTATCAATGTAATAGGACGCGAGAGGAATATCCCGACCACTTTCCGTACGGAAAAGGTCAAGGAACTCACGCGAAGCGTCGGGATCAATTCCCTCTGCGGGAGGGGAAGTAAGAATACCATGTCCTCGCCTGGATTTGTCTCGATTGGTTCAGACATGGTTCTGGTTGTTCTAGTTATGATGCAGATGGGGAGGAATGACGAGAGAACAAAACGTCATTGAAAGGGCAGAATCGTATTGCAGTTTAAGGGAGCAGGTGTTTGTTTGAGGTTCACACTGTTACGCGAGAGGCAAAGGCGATCATGTGACTGATATACCGCGCAGAAATTAGGCATCAGTGACGGCTTATTGGCTAAAAGATACACGGGCTGAATGACAGCACCGAGGTATGTCAATTCTATATGTCATCCATGAATCACAGATGCTTCCTTTCCTGTGGCTCGTGGGAATACTAGATGATGCACTCCACGGCATTTGGAAGTCGGGAGGCTAAAATTTTGTTCATCAATTGAACTAAAGAAGAGATATATCTATAATTTCCAATAAGGCCTTGCGTCTATCGCAAGGCCGTTCCTGTGACTCAATGACCAGTCTTCCCCTTGACACTACTCCACTCTATACCCAAAGAAGGCACAACAGCAAAGCATGCTACCGCCAGCCCAACATAGAAGTAGTTTCTGAGCGCTGCGTTATATTCACCAAGGACAGCTTCCAGAATATCCGTGGGGATGATATCCCGCAAATGTGTGACACCCTGACCAGCAAGTCTGGAAACATCCAAGTCAGGAAACTGGCTGAGTCGAGAAGTTAATGACTCATTGAAGACAGCCTGACCAACGCACACCAGTACCGAGCCACCTAGTGACTGAGCAAAGAACATCAGCGAAACGCCTGTGGGCACGTCCTTCTGCTCCAGTGAGACCTGTGCCCCAAGACTTGCGAGTTGCATACCCTGGCCAATACCGAGACCAAGAATGATCTGGTATCCAATCCAGGTGTGCGTTGGTGTGTGAACACCAAATGTTGAGATTAGTCCTCCACCTACAGACATGAAGATGACCGAGGAGAAGAACACGGGGTTGAACCATCCAATTCCGTTGATCATAGCACCGGATACCATTGCCCCGAAGACGAGAGCAAGGACGAGAGGAAGGGTGTCGATGCCAGAGGTGACGGCGTCGGTGCCTCTGATGCCCTGGAACCAGATCGGCAAAGCGACCAAGAAAACAATGAGGACAGCTCCGAGGCAAAATGAGAAGACTGCTCCGAGCCAGATGTTGCGGATCGTGAAAAGACGAGGCGGCACTGTGGCATTCTCCCGCTGCCAGATCTGAACACTGACAAATATTATGAGGAGAACACCAGCAAGAACCAAGAGAGCGATGATGCGTCCGCTGTTCCAGGTGTATTTCTCTCCGCCCCATTGTAGTGCGAGAATCAAGCAAATGACGCCAGGCAGGAAGACAAGATTTCCAAGGGGATCAAGTTGTCTGATTTGTCGCTTGAGCGGAGCTGACTCTTTCGGAGAAAGTTTCGGGAAGAGAGCAAGGAGAGCAGTAACTGCGACGCCTCCAACAGGGAGACTGTCATGAAACTGTTAGCAGATTGACTTGATGTAATAGAGAGGGGTTACCATACTTAATAAGGAAGCACCACTTCCAAGTTACACGATCAGTGAAGGCACCTCCAGTGAGAGGTGCAATGACTGATGCAATGCCAAAAACACCGCCCATCATACCAACATACCCAGCTCGGCTGTGCAGAGGAGTGATACTCGTAATGAGAATAGTGCTTCCGGAGTAGATGCCTGCTGAGCCCGCACCAGCGATGGCACGGCCGATGATGAAGGCGACTGAGTTGGGGGCGACACCGCAGAGGAGCGAGCCCAGTTCGAAGAGAAAGATTGCGATGAGATAAATTGCTTTCGTTGAGTAGAAGGTGAAGATACGGCCCCAAAGGAGTTGCGTAGCGCAGCTAGTAATCAGATATGCGCTCGCATACCAGCTGACATCGTTCAGTGAATGGAAACCATCCGTAATGCGAGGAATCGCCGTGGTGATGATGGTTCGGTCCAAGGCAACAAGGAACATGGCTATCATGTTGGAAAGGATGATGACGGCTAGTTTCAGCCCTTGTGGGTATTGAGACTCGTCATTTCCTTCCTCATTCGCTTCAGATGGAGGTTCCATAGCAACCTTTTCGTCGGGGAGACCATTTCCCTCCTGGTCATGAATGTCCGACATGATGCGAGGTATCGAGCAGGGCTGTTAAGTATTAAGACAGCAGAAGATGTAGTAAATTCCTCTGTTTGTGCGTTGATGCGTTGAAATGCTTGATGGATGAATATTCTGAAAGAGGCACTTCAGGTGATTCTGTAGCATATTTATTCAAAGTCATCATACTTAACATGATTGAGGATTCTTGCAAAACGGTGCCGATGAAGACTTGACCGTCATCGCGGAACGGGACTCGGCGCCGGGCACGCAAGATTTCAGATGTGGGGCCGATAGAGCGGTCCCGCGCTGAAGGGACCGACACAGTCCTGCGTCCTTGAATTCTGGCTCGGAGGATGGAAACAACAAGCCACCGAGGGGCGCGGCACGCGTGCGCAATCTCCGCATGTGCTTGGACAGGCGCTACGCTAACCCTAGTTCAGAATTCCTTGGGTACCCGGGCTGTCATCCCGAGAAGAAAACGTAAGCGGCCGCGGACTTTGTGTTAGCTCGGGTACTAGTTCGGGACCGAAGCTCCTCTGTCGCCTCAATCACGCCGGCGTGCGGTCCCGCAAAGCACACCAACGGCACCACGCAGCATGCACTAATCGTTCGATCGACACCGTCCGCACTCCAACACTGATAAAATGTCTCGCTTGATCTTCGTACGCAATTCTGTGGCGCAGACGCAAAAGCCAACGGAAAGACCTTCGACGGGGATCCATATTTTACATCGACTTCTCGGCAAGCAAACGTATCCGGCGGAAAGAGAAGATCTGGCGAGCACCTGATTTCTTGAAAAGCATCCCTCTTTCATGTTTTCTGGGGCCGTCGTACTCACGCCGCCTTCGAATCATACGAGCTTTCTGCGAACCTCTCCCACCACGAAGCGGGCCGTCTTTCAAACCTCCGATATGGCCGAATTGAAGATCACCAGGGGGCACTCGTGCGTCCCATGCCAGAACCGCAAGATTAGATGCAATGGGCATACTCCATGCACATATTGTATTAAAACAGGCAAAGACTGCATCAAATCTTCTCGCGGAACCCAGAGCCGACCGAGACCAACATCTGGTGGTCCGTCCGGCAGCACCGGGCAAGTCGTTGCAAGCGGAGACGAGCGACGCTATGTTGAGGAGTGGGTTGACCGCAGTTATGATTTGTAGTGTATGGGCTGATGATTTTGTTCTAAAGCAACAAGCTGTGGACGAGCCTCGGCAGCGAGGTAAGCCAGTTTGAGTCCCCTTGGCGATGGTACTCGTTGCCCGACTAACGATGCATCATAGCTAGGGCCTAGAAGCGCAAGCTCAGAGGACGAGAGATCTTCAGCAAGACACTCGTCTCCACCCCAAATCAATCTCATTTTCGGCCACCAACAGATGCAGTCCCCAGAGCTACTACACCCATCGCCTATTCAGTCATTCAAGTTATGGCAGGTCTTCCTGAGCAACGTCCATCCTCTGACGAAGATCATCCATGGTCCGTCTATGCAGGAAGAGGTTCTTAGAATGCTCTCAAATCCCACAGCAACCGATCGCTCAACGGAAGCTCTCATATTCTCCATTTACCTTATCGCAGTTGTCTCTTTGACAGACGAAGAGTGTCGAAACCTTCTCGACGAGCCGAGAGAAAAGCACCTTGCGAGGTACCGGTATGCTACCGAGGCGGCATTGAGTAGAGTCGACTTCCTCAGGTCTACGAACCTCAGAGTGCTCCAAACATTCACAATTTACTTGGTAGGTCTGCGTTGAATTCCCTTTTCGATCTGTACACTTGACTGACCGGCTTGGTGAAGCTCGCTCTCCGGTATCTTTGCGACAACGATATACTCTGGCTCATGACTGGCCTAGCCACCCGGATGGGCCAGAGAATGGGCCTACACCGCGAAACGTCCCTAAAGGGTCTCTCCCCATTCGAAGCGGAGATGCGACGACGGGTTTGGTGGCAAATTATCATCCTGGATGGCCGAGCCGCTCAGGTGACTGGGGCTTCTATGAACCCGTCAGCCTACCTCCTTGGTGACACCAACAAGCCTGTGAACGTTAATGATGGAGATCTCGTGCCGTCTATGGGGCTGCCGCCCCCTCCATCGCCAATTACCACGGAGATGGCTTTCTGCTCCGTCCGAATTGAGATTGGAGCGTGGATGATACACCAAAAGACACTCCCTGGTTTCGGAACATCAAGTGACGGGAGAGCCAAGTTCCTGAAAGCTGTTGACGACCTTGAAAACACGATTGAGCACAGGTATCTGAGAAACATCGACAAAGGCATTCCCCTGAACCAACTAGCGCTGAGCATGGCTCGATCCGCTATATGCCAGCTCAGGATATCGACTTGCCATCCCATGCGGCGCCAGGACAAAGACACAGAATTGAGTCCAGACCAAATAGAGATGCTCCTGGAAAATAGCATGGAGGTCATTCAATACGACATTGTGGCCCATACAACACCTTCGCTTCAACACTTCTTATGGCACGTTTCCAACTTCTTTCCCTTCGAAACGTTTGTCTTACTGGTCGGAACCCTTCCCAGCTGCGCAAATGGTCAGCTCGCAGAGCGAGCATGGGATGTGATCAACCAAGTCTATGAGCACCACCCGTCATTCATTTCGAATCGAAATGAGCCTTTGTACCGAGCTCTTGGAAATCTCACATACAGGTCTTGGAAAAAGGCACAAGCCAATGGACAACAACGCGGCTTCCCACCGCTAGCAGAACCGCCCTTCATGTCAAGCCTCCGGAGGGAATCTAGTCCGGGTTTTCAAGAACAGAATCCCACATGCAATTCCACGACGGTGTCAGGTGACGGTGGCCCGCACACTCCGTACAGCCTCCCATCCAACGCTAGCATTGACGGCGACAACAACGCTGTGATGACCGATTGGCAGCAGCTACCACAAGATATCCATGATGGCTCATTTGCAATGGGACGTGAGAGTATGGATATGGATTGGGAGTTCTGGCAATATTTGCTAGTCGACAAGGTGCCAGGTGGGCAAGAACCATCGAAGGCAAATCCGTTATCGTTTATGGCCTATGATAATTGATGACCTCGACACTACCATTGGTAGATTTTGATCGAGGTGAAAGTCTATATACAAGAATCGGAAATGTGACGGCACTCGGCGTAGCATGTGCCTCGAAAGGACATCCAAATGATGACGCTTGTGATGACGTTGTCTCGCTGCGACCCCTGTATTCAGTAGTCGAAATGGAGAGGTCCGAATGGACTGATGTGATAAGTCCTAAGGGTTTGCTATCGAGCATTAGCTGGGCTGTAATGAGGCCTTCGAACATGTCCAGACGAAGCTTGCTTGACTGAGATCCCTAATATCGCCATGCTGACCACAGTCTAACGGGGGGTTGGCCGGCTTTTCTTTCCAGAGACATACTTGGCGGTCTGTTTGCGAGAGGTCCTAGGCTCCTTTTGAAACCGAGTTCATCATGCCACGGCCGACGGAGTTGACGCAGGAGGTTGTGGGAACAACACATATCAATTGATTGGATCGTGCCGTCGTCTTAGTACTCGGAGGAGTAGTAGGAGAAGTCGTCAAGGAATGTATCTAATCGGCTTCTGGTACCGTGATACGGCGGCGGAGAGTATGATGGATATGAAGGCAAGGAATATGGTGAATATGAAGGCGGAGAGTATGGCGACGGAGAGTACGGCGGCGGGGCATCAATGGTAATGACATCCGGGTTGGTTTGATAGCCAACCTCAGTCCGGCCGCACTCGACACAATGCCTGCGATGTCGTCGTGGGATTTTGCAGTTGAACAGAAAGAAGGCGGCGGTTTCGAAATCACTTTTGATACCTGCAATGGCATTACCGAGCACCGTTCGAAGGCCCATGTTGATAGAATAGGGCGTGTGGTATTTGCGATGGAGGCTGTGAGTGGTGACAATTGTATGCAACAGAGGACTGTGTGGGATAAATGGTCGGAAGAGAGAAAAGTGCATTTTCTCTTGAAGAGGAAAGAAATATATACCCAAGTCCCAATTAACACAATGGCTTGTAACAAGTTGTATCTTTTCTCCTTAACGTAGTTCAACGCACAAGGTGGACAAACTCTAGACAACCCTTCGTAGCCGCTTCCCTTTTCTGCTAACTTAAAATGTCCAAGCTAGTACCGTGATAGCCATTTACCAAAGCATCACGGAAATTTCTTCGTCCGACTACCATTAGAATTTCCTGACGCACAGCTTTCCGGATCAGCCTTAGAGCTTCGCAGAAGTCTCGCGTTTGACCAAAGCCCTCAAGTCCTTTCGCAGAATCTTGCCAGAAGGGCTTTTGGGGATAGCATCTATGAAAATGACCCCGCCCCGCAGCTTCTTGTAGCTGGCGACCTGTCCCTCGACCCATTTAGCAATATCCTCTGCTGAGATTTGCTTCTTGTCCGCCACCACATATGCCCTGAGGAAGCTGTTAGTAAGAATCTCTAAGCAGTCCAACCGCTACGCACCTTGGAAGCTCTGTCCCTTCCCCATCCACGCCAATGACTGCTGCGTCCTGGATCTTTGGGTGAGTCACTAGCAAGGCCTCTAGCTCCGCCGGAGCAACTTGGAATCCTTTGTACTTGATGAGTTCCTAAATTCACGTCGGTCAATTATCGATGACTGTGATATTTCTGGTATACTGTGTGAAGACGTACCTTCTTGCGATCAACAAAATAAAATTTGCCATCCTTGAAAGAGAGTCTGTCGCCAGTGCAGAACCAGCCGTCGACGAAGGCCTCCTTGTTCGCCTGCTCGTTCTTGTAATAGCCCTTCGTCACGATTGGTCCACGGCACCACATCTCGCCAGGTTCTCCAACCTCGACGTCTTTGCCTTCCTCGTCCACCAGCCGAGCCTCGCAGTTCGCGACAATCGGAGAAACGCTGCCGGTATCGTCAGTCATATGTCGAGGAAGAATAGTAAAGCCGCCTGTTGTTTCGCTGAGGCCCCAAGTTTGGCCGAGGATTCCCTTGCCCTTTCCAATCTTTTTCTGCGCTTCTATTTGCGTTTCCCTTCCGAGTGCTGCCGCTCCGGTGAGCGCAAATTCAACAGAATCAAATTGGTCTGTGACGAGAGGAGACTTGGCGATCATGAGGTAGATTGGGGGTACGCTGAAGAATGTTGTGACTTTGTACTTCTTCATGTAACCTAGAAACTCTGGAAAGTTGAACTTTTTCATCCAGTAGACGACGCCTCCCATGAATGTCTGGTTCACAATGTATGCCTGCAGGCCTGAGATATGGGCTGCCGGAAGATGAGCCAGGGTGATGTACTTCATTCCAGGACCGGGGCGTTTCTTGTAGTACTCGATCGTGGGCGTGGAGATGAACATTGTTTGGGCGATCATATTCGCGTGCGAAATCTTGACGGCCTTGGGGACGCCAGTGGTACCACTACTGTAGATGTAGCAACCGACAGTGTTCTCCAAGGGCGTCTGGTCCGTGACGCGTTCCCAATCCAACTCTTCCTTTGACAGTGGCACTTCCTTGTCCGTCTTAGCTTCAAAGAGCTTGAACTCGTGTGTGTCACCAATATAGAGAATGCGGTCTGCAGGCAGGCCGGCTGCCGTTCCTCCAGCGGCGGCTAGAGCTTTCAGATCAGGGCTGCAGATGACCATCTTGCTCTCGGTAAGATTGATCTGGCGGGCGACTTCAGGCGGAGACGAAGACGGAGTTGACGCTGCGACGGACCCGCCGGCGGCCATGATGCCGTAGAAGACGGCCGGAGCCATGTAGTGGCCGGTGAAGATGACTTGTACGACATCTCCTTTTTGAATGCCATATTTATGGCGCAGGGTGTGAGCAAGTTGTTTCAGGGTGGTCACCAAACGCCCCTTGGTGATAGACTTGCTGGGGTCTGCGGCCTCCGCGTGGAGGATGGTGTCGTCGTTGAGTCTCTCATTGGGATAATCTGAGGCCGCGTTAAGTATCAAAGGCTGAAATGTCTATAGTAAGGCACGTGGAGGCTGTGGATGGTTACACATACCAAACAAAAACGTTAGCAAATCGACTTTTGGGAGGTCAATTGTGTCGGGAGATCGGTAGATGGTCTGGCCACCCCGCTTCTCAACAATTGTTGCCATTGTGAAATATGCTGTGAATTTGTTTCCGTTTCTTGTTATTGTGGTCTCCACTATGAGCAAAGATGTATCATGTAAGCTGCGTTGCGTTCATGAACGAAGACTTGATGAGGAATCGTGGGGGGTGATGTTTTGACGAGGCCCAATCCGGCTGAATGGGAACAGTGGAAAGACAAAATAAAGTGAAGGCCCGCGCGGAACTGGCAATTGGCGGCGTTCGGAGAGGGGCCAGTGCACGCGGAATGAAGAGAGCTTGGGGATGTGACGTGAAGTAAGTTAAGTTGAAGGGGGTCTGACCGAGAAATGAGAGTGTTGGTGAATCGCAGCCTCCGACTCGCTTCCCCGCATTATTCTTATCAAGATTGGGGGCTGGCTGCGTTATGGGTCTCTTCACCCGCGAAGGCCGTGACAAGCCGGCGCCCTGCGCTCCCTTGCATCGACTCAGATCGTGTCTGCCGAGGTCATGGAGACGTGTCAGTGGTTACTTGTTGGGGTAACCCCTTCATTAGCGCGTTCCTATTTTGTGTTCCTTGGCTGCGGGGGAACTCCAGCATGTTGAGGGCCCGAGAACCCGAGCCAGCATTTTCGGCGGTGACTGGCCGGGGTGGATGTGCGGGGAAATTCCGTGGAGGTTAGGTACGATCCATGCTTGGGCGACAAATTCATGGTCCATTTCCTGCTCATTAGTGTTGGGAACGCAATGATCTGGTATCTAGCCGAAGGTTCAGAATTCTTTCAAGGGGTTCTGCTCGGGGCGACGAATGAGCCCAGGCTCGGCATTTTACAACTGACTTAAGTGAAGAGCCTACACTTGTCACAGTTGCCATAAGTACTGTCCTTCTAGGGGTCCACTTGCTGATCCCGGACGTTCTTGCTTATTCAGGAGAATGTGAATGATTGGGGGATATTCGGTGACTGAAGTCCCAATGCCCTTGCTGCGCCGCGTTCAAATTCGTGAGGATGGCTACTTGCTTAGTGGTCGGGTTTAATCGAATTAACCCCGGCTTGTTGCCGTCTTCAACTCATTCGCGCGTCAGCCTCTAGGCTTCTAAACTGACTGCCAGTCATCTTCACCCTCTCTCTCTTCTGCCTGCCTGTAGCCGAACCCCTCATGATTCGCACCGATAACGACGGGTAAAACAACTGTGGGCGTCGATCGGCTTATGCAGAGATGCAATTCCATTTCGTTGAAGCTGGAAATGATACCCGGAGCAGCCGAAAGGCTGCCAGAAGTCATGTTATGAAGGGGAAAAACGCCGGAAAAACTTTATCAAGACGTGTTCGAAAGAGCGTCCACGGCGCCAAGCAGACACAGAGATCGACAGTCGAACCTACGGGAGTGATAGGATCATTGCGACGCATGGTTGGAAACGACATCTCAAACTTCTCACCAGGGGCAGAATTACTACCACATACGCGGCTGTTGCTTCATCAGTGTACGTATGGACCGCGCTGGGACACGAAGCTTGGCTAATGGCATTATCACAGTCTTCAGTGTCGTCGGTGATGCTATCTATCCTCCAGAGATCTGCCACGCACCTGACCCCCTCAAGTCTGCATGGCTCCAATACATCATCAATGATAAAGCCTGTTCGTGCAATGAATTGCATTTTGAGACAAGTCTTCTGACACCAAATAGTTTTTCACGTTTCACTTGCTACGGTTGCAACATGCCTCGACTTCTTTCAACGGTCAGAGAAGGACTCAGAGCAAGCCATACTGCATACCAACCAAGCTTTCAACATGATCAACGAGAGGTTGTCTGGGGCTGAGGCTTTGTCGGACACAACCATAGGCCTTGCATGCATGTTTAGTGTCCAGGAATCTGTCAGGGGTGATCTCGAAAAGTACAACGTGCATCTCAGAGGGCTTTATCGAATGATTGAACTTCGTGGAGGTATCCGCGTTTTCGAAGACAATTTGGAGGTGTTGCAGAAGATATGCCGGTGAGTTGCGAACATGGCCAACGGCTGTGGAAAATTACTGACTTTGGTGTTAGGACTGATGTGCAATATGCTCTGCACACGAACTCCTGGCCGAGGTATCCCTACATGGAGATACCCAAACGCGTGGTGGAAGAATTGGCAACTACACAGGGGCGTATGCCCGGAACTCTATCTGTCATCTTTCAAGGTGTATCATCTGTGGTCTGTCAACTCGTCAGTGACATCGAAAGATGCTGTTTCATGTTCAACGATATCTGTGAGAAACGGAGACCGACACTTGCCTCGTATGACTTTCAGGGGACGCTGGTATCTCTCTGTCATCGACTGGTCCGAATACGGCTGGCAGATAATTCTACATTCAGCACGGTGCAGAAAGCATGTCTTTCAGGTTTGGCGTGTTACATCAGCAGCCTGATGCTTCAATTTGGTCGTCAACGGCACTTGCGCTGCGACCTGCTACGGGACGAACTCAAAGGTGTCATAGAAGAGATGCTAGGCGATGTCTCATGCTCCGGTCAAGTCAGACTTTGGCTTCTACTGCTCGGAAGCATATCTGTATTTGAACTGGAGGATGATTCGTGGCTCCTTCCTCTTCTGCATCTGGAAATCAAAATTTCGGGACTACAGGAATGGATGCAGATTGAAGCAGAGATGCGACGGTTTACTTGGATATGTTCTTTTCATTGCCCTCAAGGCAAAGCAATATGGACAAAGGTTCTGAATCTTCCAATTACCCGATCATAGAAATATTTAGGAATGCGGCTGAGCTTTCAGCAGCTGAATCAAACATTTGAAGATATCAACCGACCAGGTTCTTCGTACATCTTGGCTCGATCTTCTCTAGTCTGGTTGCCAATTGAGTCCAGACCATGTTCTGAAACTTTTGCCCGCTCTCATTCTTCACCCACTCGGGCACCCAATGGCTGTGTATGAGTTAGCTATATACCGATGGATGCTTCGTAGTCGATGGATGTAGACTTACTCTTTGATCTGGCAATCTGAGATATATTGCCCATGGCTTTCTGCCCCAGCAAACATGCTATGCAAGATTGTGCGGCTCCCCATCTCCGGGGTTCTTCCAATCGCCGCATTCATCATCCAAACCTGAAGCCGTAGGGCCATTCTGCCATATTTCGCCAGACCGGTGTTGCAAAGCCCGGGATTGAGGAGATTCAAGACGACACCGGTGCGAGATGCTGGTAGGATGGTCGCGAGTTGTCGGACGGCAAGTATCTGAACCAGCTTGGTGACGGAGTATCTGCAGTCATTTAGTCATCAAGCCGTTTGCATGGCACCTCTTATTTTGATGAGTGAAGAGTAGCTAGAAGAGTTGTGACATACCTTTTCTCCATGGGAGACTTTCCTTGGGTATTCAAGACATCAAAGACATCCTCGTCTCCGTATTTTAGGAAGTCCGGCTGCGTGAAACCAAGTCCAGATGTAACAACCACGATATGCGGTGGCGAGTCTGAAGTCTTGGCCGTCTTCATCAACTTTGGATGAAGAAGCAGTGCCAGCATGACTGTGCCGATGACGTTAACAGTGATGCTTGTCTCCATGCCTTCAGCTACTGTCCACTCATCCAGGGCTGCAGTGGCGTTCTCAACCAATCCGTCAAGACGGCTGAGCTCCGAAGAAGCTCTCTTCGCAAAAGCTCGGATGGAGTCATAAGATGACATGTCGAGCTGCCAAACCTCGGTGACATCCGGTCTGCCGGTGGAGGCATCGATGCGAGCCTTTGCATCTTGACCTCTCTCAATGGATCTGACGGCGATAATCACACGAGCTGATCCAAGGTTGACAAGGTGCTTGACAGCTTCGAAGCCAATGCCAGAGTTTGACCCTGTAATGATGAAGGTTTTGCCAGCACAGGTCTCCTTTGTTGGGACGATGGGAAGATTTTGTCGCTGAGCGCGAACGAAGCCTATGGTATCCATGGCGTCTTTGGAAAAGATTCAGGATAGATTTCAGGGCAGGAGTAATTGAAATGTAGGTTTGCAATGTCTGCCACTTTTACATCTCCAGCATCTCGAGCGAGTCTCATCCTTTTATGGCTGTTACTTGACTCTGGCAACCCTCCTCCGTCTCGGGGATACCATCATTTTCCTGTTTTTCGGACTCCGTACAGCATAATCTCCGGTGAATGCCTGGAACCTCAAGCTTCATGTGCACTCAAGTCTTTCACTTTTGGTACCAAGACGACGCATCTGACAGGAGGCTTCCAACACAATTCCCAACTTGACCAATCAGAGATTTGTTGCCTGATTGGGTATGGTGGCTGCGGAAGCCGTCCCACACCAGACGATCCACTGACGGCGATGAGCCGGCCGAGTTCACGCCGTGTCTCCGCTGTTCCTCGGGTGCGTGGTTTTCATAGCTTGTCCTTATCTCACTTCCGGATTAGGTCTCAAATGCTCTGTGCTCCCTTCGACATGGCCATGACACAAGAACCGCAGGCTTGTAGGTCGGCATCGATCGATGATCCGGCTATCATTGTCACTGAAAGAATTTGAGCGGCGCGCATTCGTTGGAATCGTAATAAACATGCGTTGTCTTCGACATGGTCCGATTAAATGAAGTTGGCATATCAATCATGAACTTTGGTCTTTCAGTTTTGGACGCAGCAATTGTCGGCGAAAAGCCGCCCGCGGGCTCAAATTGCATCCGTTCACCTGCCAGCTGGAGCCGGGTGGCTTCCTTTATTAACGGATGTTTGAAAACATGTGAGCAGTATCTCAAGATGCTTTCTCCCAAGATGGCCGCTCCAATTTGAGCCTTATCCCTGTCAGAAATTACGAAGACCACGTTCTCTGTAGATACTATCAAAAAGCAGTATGAGCCTTCGCGCAGGGGATGTGCATCGCGAAGGCCCCCATGTGCTTGGGGAGAGTACATGAGACTCATGCACATGGATGCAATTGTTGGTGCGGCTGGTGCGAGCTTATTCACCGCGAACATTCCAGAGCTATCGGGGACTAATTGACCCCCAAAAAGATCGCTGCAAACTCCGCAAGGATTTTGGTTTAGGCCTGAACAGGCTAATTTACCTCCGGCTCGGACTGCCATCGTACCCGAAAGGGCCGCAACCCGGCCAACAATGCCAAAATGCCCTGTAATTGGCAGGTCCAAGTAGTGGGCTTAGAAATCTTGCATTCCATTAGTCAGTGGGCCACCTGTGTCTTTTAGTGAAGTCCAGGGCAGAGTGGGAGGCCGAACCCCACGACGAAACCGCGCGCGTCCTCTTTGTTGGTTTGCAAGACGCCACAGGGTCAAGCCTGAACTGATCTGGATCCGCTGACGCATCTCGGAAGCAAATCCTCATACTAGCCATGGATTATCGATCTGTCAATGTCGACATTGAGATGGGGTTGAACTTGAAAGGCGTGATCGAATATTAAAGAGACCTCATTTCTTCCCCCCAAACCGGTTCACTACTCTGCATCAGTACTCAACAACATCAACATCCCCCTAAACCAACATACTTCAGCCGCCAAAGCTTAGCATTCCCTCACCCCAATCACCGCAAACGGACGAAGCAGTGTACTTAAATCCATCGCCTAACCGACGTCTTACATCAACCTCAACTATACAAACTATCAAACTTTTAGTCATTATAAAATGTCTGGACAACAGGGACGCAAGATCGCCATTGTCGGTGCCAGCGGCAACGTTGGCGGCGGCACCCTCAAGGCTCTCCTCGCCAAGGGCATCCACACTATTACCGCGGTCACCCGCACCGAATCAACTGCCACGTTCCCCGAGGGTGTGATCGTGAAGAAGGGAAGCTACGAAGACGAGTCCTTCCTCGTCTCCGCATTCCAAGGCCAGGATGTCGTCCAGCTCGCCCTCGGCTTCTCCAGCTACGCAACAGGCCAAGAGCCTCTGATTCGCGCCGCCGCCAAGGCCGGTGTGAAGTGGATCCTGCCCACCGAGTACGGCTCCGCCCCGGACCCTTCTAAGCTTCTTGATTCCAGCCCTATTCTCCAGGGCAAGATCCAGATCCGCAAGCTGATTGAGGAGCTCGGCTCCAGCTGGATCGCTATTGTCAACAACCCCTGGTACGATTGGTCCATGGTCGCAGGTTTCTGGGGCATCGACATTAAGAACCGCACCGCCAAGCTGTACGACGGTGGAAAGACCAAGTTTATCACGACCAACATTGGCGTCACCGGTAAGGGTACCGCTGGTGTTCTGAGCCTGCCCGACGCCGAGCTTGAGAAGTACCGCAACAAGCCTTTCTATCTTAAGTCTTTCTACATCAGCCAGCGCGACATGCTCGACAGCATTCAGCGTGCTACTGGTACCACGGACAAGGACTGGAAGATTGAGGAGCCTGACGCTGCCACTGTTGTTGCCCAGGCTGAGGAGGCTGCTAAGAAGGGTGACCACGTCGCTGGTCTGATTTCCTTCTATGTTAACCATATGAGAGCTGGCTGGGGAGGTGACTACAATGACAAGGTCACTGACCTGACCAAGATTGGTCTTGAAGCCGAGGATCTCGACGAGACCACCAAGAGAGTTGTCAAGGAGGTCGAGGGACAGTAGTTACATGTCAAACAAAAAGCTCCCGAAGGTTAAGAAATTTTAAAATTTTAATATAAATGTTGTTCACATATCGTCTCAGAATTTCAAGCGGACTACAACCCCCATGTATAAATATGATCACATAGTAGACGACGCTGTGAGGCTGTATTGTTGATAATGTATCTGAAGCCTAAATCACAAATAAAAAGTCTTCTTTAGCCTTTCTCATAACTTTGTTACTACATTAACCTCCCGCCCAGAATCAAAGGCCTAAGGGCTATAAGCCGTCGCGCAAAAATATCTTTCTGTTATGAAGAAACCACTTATAGTAGCAGCATCATCTGTGTGATTTCCCTCGGTTCATCTGCACTCCGTATGTTCTTACTTAGTTAATAGCAGCAGAAACAGCGGCTTATGATTCTTATTATCGGATTCAATATACATAACAACCTTGTAATAATGTGGGTATAAGAGTTTGCTAGAGTCTAGCGCATGGTATTGTGTTCTGCCTGTGCTATTTGTATTTCTCCTGGCTGGACAAGTTCCCAGACACCAAATATGCCCGTGTAGGTGTTCCTGGCGGCAGTCCTGTACATGGCCATGATCCCGGTGATTATACGGGCCAGAAACGTGAAGGTCCCGTAAACAGCCCCGGCCGAGCAGGCCGCATGATAATTACTGATGGGCATGCCTTAGATAAAAGATGTTAGCTCAGAATTAGGTTTGTGGTGAGAAATCCATGGCACTTGACCTTCGTTCGCTGCCAATTGCGCGAAGACGTATCCACCAAGCGTGTTGGAGCCGATGAGAAATATAGACCACATCTAAAACAGACTAAGCCGATGGTCATCGTATGTTTTCTTATCAGTAGTTCTTCTGAAATATTTCTTGTCCTACGGTTGACTAGAGCTCTATGTCTCATACGCGCCGAACCTGCGCTGTCGAACCGCCCCCAGGCATCAGAATGGACCGACTCTGCTCTGGATATGGACGCACCGTACTAATACAATACTAGTCGGAGCCCGCTCCTGAACCTTTAATTTGAGGACATGATTGAAGAAGCAGGAAACAAAATTTGGTTGTGGTACTGGCCGCGGAAGAATATCAAGAAAATAGACTTAGGGGTTATAATGACAAACGCTTTCTTGTGAGCGTCTACACACACCATTGAGTTGCCCTTGCTCTGTTTGCTGACTTCACGCAGCCAAACTTTCTTGGATTATCAAGAAACTGTTTCGAACTTTCGACACGCCAGCTGATCTTGGGGTCATTCGCTATCCGTTAGTTTGGAGATGGTCCACCGCTCAACTGCACCACATTCAAGTCGGTATACAAGCAAGGCGTCATCCGGGAACACTACTCGTGTCTTCCAAATACAAAGTCAGTCTCGTCAACATCTGCTAATGTTCCGAACCTCATGGACTTCGTGGTATTTGTTTCTGTGGCAGCGTTTCTTCTTCTGGGACTCTAATCTAGTTGATGGTTCCGACGGCACGCTCTTGGATAGGAAGGTACCCCGGACCTCGCAGCAAACACGCCTACACAGTCTCTTGATGTTGCAGTCCACATGTGCACGAAAGATGAAGGACTCAGTTTAAATAATTGAAACTCATTTGAACTATCACCGAGACTCCTGACCGAGAAACCATCGGTACCAATCCATGACATTGACTCATACATAGGATATCTTGTTACAACTGATGCCGCCTTCAACCACGATCTTGCAAATGTAAACCCGGTCATAGAATAAATCCCTCTCCTATCCGCCTCATTTGAACCTGACAGATACAACTATACTCATCGTCTAAAAGCGAGCAGTGGAGTTGGAGCTGCCGGCAGAGCCGCCAACGAGCTTGCTGTTGAAGGCATCAGCAGCAGCCTGGTCCTGAGTGGCCGCGGTAGCCGCAGTCTCAGCGGCCTTGCAGCTATCAATGGTAGCCTGGGGAGCCTTGCAGCTGTCCTGGAGACGCTGGCAGATGAAGCCGGCAATGATTCCAATCTTCTGGGCAGAGCCGTGGTTGAAGTCCTGCTGGTTGGTAGCGATGAAGCCAGGGCCCTGACGGTCCTTGAGGGCGTTGGAGAACTCGATGCTGGGGTCGCTGCAAGAGCCGAAGTCGGAGGCCTGGCGCATCCTGAGGGAGCGTCTGCGCTTGCCGATGGCAGCGTGGCACTGAGTGTTCTGGTCCTCACACTGCTGGACGCCACCGGTGAGCTTTCCGCTGTTGGCGGCGTTGGCGCAGGCGTTGTGCTGAACATCGCAAGAGCGGCCGAGAGCGGCGTTCTTACCGACGAAGGTGTCGCCGTTGACGGAGAAGGGACGAGTGCCGGAGGTCTGGATGACCGGGGGAGGGGCGGCGCCAAGAGAGCCGGTGAAGGTCTGGACGTTGGTGCCTCCGGCAGCGTTGCCAGTGTTGCCAGTGTTGCCAGTGTTGCCGTTGCCGGTAGAGTTGTTGGCAGAAGCCTGGGCATTACTGTTGGTGGAGCGAGCAGCGCAAGCAGCGGCGTTCTTGGCCTTGTTGTTGCCGGCGTTGTTGCTGGCCTTGTTGTTGCTGCCGCTGTTGCTGCTGCTTCCAGTTCCAGAGGTGGTGTTGGCAGCTCCGTTGGTAGCTCCAGTAGCAGTACCGCCGCCGGCAACCTTCAGGCCGTTGATGTCGATGTGGGTAGCCTTCAGCTCACCGGTGCCGCCGGTGATAGTGGACTTGATACCGGCAACAGCAGCGTTGATCTCGTCGGGAGTGGCGTCGAGGACAAGAGTCTTGGTAGTGAAGATGCATCCGGTGGGGTCGTTCTGGTCGTCGCAAGAGTTACCCTTGAAGGTCGTGTCGGTCTTCTGGCCAGGGGCGAAGGTACCGCTCTCGAGAGCAAGCATGGGGTCACCGCCGATGGAGGCGAGCTGCTTGGCGAGCTCCAGAGTGACGGCCTTGTTATCGGCAGCGGCGTTGTCGGTAGCGGGATCCTGGTGAGCCTTGATGGCAGCGATCTCAGGGTTGACGGCGGTGTCAGTGCAGGCGGCGGAAGCCACACCAATACCAGCGGTGTTGCGCTCGAGGGAAGCGTAGACAAGAGCGCCAGACATGCCACGGATATCCTTCTCAGCCTTGGCGTTGGTGAAGGCCTGGTCGGCAGTCTCCTGGTGTAGGCAGGCGAGGTTGGTAACCTGTCCAGCTCCGGCCTTGGCAGCGCCATCACCGAGAAGACCGAAGACGGGGTCGGCGATCGCCTTGGGGTTCTGCTTGTTGAGGAATTCGCGGGTGATGTTCAGGAAGATCTCGTGAGAGTGCTCCTGGGGAACCTCACGCTTGGCCATGCGGCGGACATGGTGGTGGCGGTGGTAAGACCCAGCCTCGGCGAGAGCCAGGAGGGAAGAAGCGGCGAATGCAACAGCTTGGTACTTCATATTGACCGAAATTGATGATTATCGACGTCGATTGAAGTTCGAACAGAAAAGACCGGCCTTCTGCCTACAGTTTTCGACTGAAGTAGTATTGAAAAAAGGGTGGTAAAGAGAATATGGTAAAACGTTAACGTAGAGCAATCAAAGCCGATGCAAAGAATGGAATGAGTTCTCAGAACTCGTGGTGAAAGAATGAATCGAAACGGCGAAGAGAATGTCGTACGAAGATGAGAAGCTATAGCCAAGAAGAACAGATCTGGTGCCGAGAAGGAGATCACTCAGGTTTATAAAGAAAAGATTGGATGGAAAAGATGATCAGAGCACATCCCTGGCACATCATCGAATTCAGACGGTCGAGAGCATGAGCCGCATCCTTGGCCAGCGTATGCCGGCAAAGCGGAGGGATGAGACTCAAGGAGGTCACTCAAATGGACCACCCCGGGGACGATATTGAAGGGTGTGATACGATACGAGACGAAGTGAGTCGGTTAGGACGGACCAGAAAAGATTGCCAGGTCCAGGAAGCTGTTGGGCCCGAAGCCTTGGTCTGGCATGTGCAGGGGAGGGTTACCTGGGGGTGGAGGAAGAGTGACAAGACGCAACAAACGTCAACGTCTGAGTGTCATGATGGCCAAGTCAACCGCGAATGAGGCAGCAGAGTGGGGATTTCACGACAAGGCCGCCATTGTGTCGACCGGGGACGAAACCGCTCACTGCAAAATTGGCTGTCGCTAAAGATACGCGTGTGTTGTTGTTGTGACCAGGCCGCTCAACTATTGTGACAAGGGTCGCGATATGGGCAGAGTTTTCGGATAGCGTTGCGACGGGTGGGAGGGGACAAACTGCAAGGCGGCAAAGAGTTCAGACTCAAGACAGCGATGTGTACGGCAAGATGAGGCGGAAGATCAGACAAACCGAGCCGCAGGATGTCATAGAGCGAGTTTCGACCGGGGTGTGGGCGGTAATGTTTTGGGTCGCTCGCTTCTCCCCCATGCGTCACATCGCTCGCCCACTGGGCCCCGCCCCCCACGGCAAAAATGCTTGATTCAGTCTTCCCGCCAATGATCGCGTCCCGCGAGGTCCGGATGGCGAAGTCGCCGGCGGTGGCTGGGGGGTAAGGGGTCTCTGCCGCAATCTGCTTAGGGCTTAGTGTAGGGGTCTGGTCCTCTCTGTTGAAGAAGCTGTGCCGTGCTTTCGTAGGCGAAATGCACCTCACCGTTGCCCTTTCTTGCTGAACTCGGTTGAAGTTCCTGGAGGCCGGTAAGCTGGCGGCTGACAAACCTGAAATGAAGACATCTAGACCCCTCGGGGGTGTGGACCGGGGCACCCTTTTCGGCATGTCGCACCGAACAAGATCTATGATTGAACGGGTCTTCTGGCCGGTTTACCTGGTCGGACGTGGCAACCAAAGAATTAACGTGGACGGTTAGATAGATTGCCCCCCATCAAAAATTGACGGGACGACTAAACTTCGTGGAGGCTAGCGCCTGAGCTTATTGAGGCTTGAACTGGGATGTTTACATCAGTCTTTGGAAACTAACGTTCACATTTGAGTGTCACGAAGTCAAAGTACCTACCATCCTTTGAGTTGATAGCACACCACCTCTCTCATTGAGGTTGTGTCCTCTCCTCAATGACAACCAACATCCGACATCCTTCGTCCATCAGCCCAGAACTCTGATCGAGTCTGCCGAGAAAGATGCTCGCCAGGCTCATGCGGCAGCGAAAGTGGGCCACGCTGCCGTCGACCGCCATAAGATCTACTGTTTCAGACGATCGCAGACTTCAGACGCATCAGTGCCAAGGGGCAATATCTCAGACGCTATCACCATGCGGCCCTAGCCACCCTCGTGCGTCATGTGCGACTGGCAGGCTGTCATCCCAGCCATCCATCCATCGTAGCGGGGTTGATTCACTTATTGACAGGCACTCGTCCGCCTCCATTCCTCTTCACTCGTGGTATGATCTGCCTCGCGCCTTCGGAATTCGGCCTGGGATGAATTATGATATGACTCGAGCTTTGTCATCCACCAGCGCGAACTATTCAATCGGACGAGCCGGCGACCAGACGATTCAGCGTCTGAACTCGGCCTCATAAGACGGTTGCGCGATTTGTTATGACCCTTAAGAGGTCCTGATAATCATCCTCAGTCTGAGATGAGATGCAGTTCATCACTTGTCATGCTGCACTGACTCGGCCAGACCATGCGCTCCAAGCACATTCTGGCGCGTGGGAACTGACCCTCATAATGTGGCTTCTTCCTTTCCCCAGAGCCACCGGCAGTACTGGGATGAAATCTCAGGGTAGAATCCAGAACCAGCTACTGATGGTGATCGCGGGCCGCGGGGTCAACGAGTGAGGTGTCCACTTTGGTCTGGGCTCATTCCACCTCCGCATTCATGATTGTTGCTTGAGAGATCACACACTCTGAGAAGCAGATCATCAGAGTTTGTCATCCGCCACATTACGATGCATGAGCAGCCCGTCTCATACTGACCCCATTTTTTCGAGTATTTCGTCTGCTTGAAAGCCTCCCACCGTTGACTGACAAAATGGCATTGGGTTCCGCCAAAATGTGCAACTTTGTTCCCCACTCATGAGAATGCCATCCTATTCGACGCCTTGTGAGCACACGAAACGCTGTTCTTCATCAACCGTGTGATGAACTGCCGTTCATGCCCCATGACGTGTATGATTCGTGAGAAACGCCAAGTGTTCGCCATCTGAAAATGGCAACTACTCCCTGCGCATTTCACTTCATATTAGCAACCTCTGACACTTGGCGGCACTGGGGATTCCCGCGTTCTCGAGTATGACCTGAATAGAAAGGTCTCGTGTACCAAGAAAGTCTAAAGTTGCTGGCTTCGTTCAACAAACGTGTGGGTATCATTGGTAAGCTACTACTACGATCAAGCCATATCTATACGAATATTGTAGTCGTCGCCTTCTTGTGCGACAACAGTTACGGTAACACCCCAATCCTCCACGGTGTATGCGCTCGCCCCGCCCCCATTAAAGGTCAACGGCGCGTTGTCAAGCTCGTCATTCGCGCAGCTAGCCGAGCCCCAGCCTTGGTTTCCATCCAGAACGCGAACCGGTCCCTCCCCCGTGGCAACGTCGGTCGCCACCGTGTATAACAACATGCCTGTAGCACAAGCGTTCTCGTCGTTGCCATTCTTCGACCGAACTTCGGCTACTAATGCTTCTCTTTCGTTCTGCTTAATGACGACAGCCTTCACGCCACCCTCGGTCTCCAGTGGAGACAGCTTATGGGTAGTCGACGCCGATGCATTCCCAGCGCTGCTCCCGGCCGCTGGGACTACGCACTCAATCTGGTCGTCTGCAAGCCAGCCCAACCTCCACTTGTTCCATGCGAAGTAATCCGGACTGTGACCACCAACATTGGCCATCATGTCCCAGTTTCCAGTGTACAGGCCAGTGTAGCCCGATGGTAGCGGGTATAGATCTGGAAGGCAGAAGGCGTGCCCCGTTTCATGGTTGAGAGCTTTGTAACCCCACACGTCGTAGGTGTCAAAGCCTATGGTGACAGCCTTCCTGGCGACGTAGTTGATATCGTAGGTATACACAGAAGAAGTAAGAGTGGCAGAGAAACTGATAGCCGTCGCGTTTCTCGTCGGGATGATGTAGAGCACATCCGTAATTGGGCCGTCGGTGCTGTTCACGCCTGGCACTGGTGTGTTGGTGATCTTCAGCCATTCGTCTAGGGCATCCTTGATGTAGACTTGGTGCATCTGCTGAGACAGGCCTCTCTCGAATTGGTAATCGGTCGCGTTTTTCGGCATGCGGTAGAATCGCGTCGTATCGGCGGTGACGTTCAATGACAGCTTGCCGTAAGAAGATTTTTCGAACCACTCTGCTGTCTGTGGGAAGAAGACATTGTAGGCTTCCTTGGGTGAGGCTTCGGATGCGGTCTGGTCGGGAAAGTCGATGAAGAGCATTAGTGCATTTAAAGTGCCTGTGCTAGGCGCGCAATCGTAGTTGTAGCCGAATCCCGAGCTAAAATACACGCTTTGGTTCGCTGCGAGTTTGCAGGATGAGCTGTCGGCCCTCCGGGCAATTGATGGCAGGCCCGCCGCGCATGCCGCGGCCGAGATGAGCGCTGCCCCGTAAAATGCAGATGCTATCGGGGTCTTCATGTTTTTGGTGGAACTCCGAACAGTCGTCTCGGACAAACAAAGGACAGTAGGAAGTTGGAAGCCGATTCCTTTGGTCTGGAGGACAACGCTTATTATTTATCCAAGATCTAACATCCTTTCAACGTCTATTCATGGCTTTGGGGCTGATCCGAGCCACAGTGCCAGGTTCTATGTATAGTGATTTAATCTCCCCATGTGGGAATACGAGATGAACTCTAGGCGTGGACCGGGATTCAACACGGGCTTGCCGACTCCACCTCGGGACCTTGGGATAAGCATAATGAGGATGCATCCACTCTAAGGATGTATTTTCAATCGCTGGGAAACATTTTCTAGGTCGAGTAAAATTTTGCGCCATGGATTTGAACATGAACTACCAGCTATTGCAAAGAAATGAGAATATTGCCCAGTGGTCAAGCGGCAGGCAATTCTCAGCATCATTCCGCACTCTCAGCAGGCTTTTGTCCACATACGATGTGCCTGAATACTTCTCGTCAGCTTTGGCATTTCATAGCTTTGTGAAGCCCACTTACACCTCGTAGTACGCATTGAAGCTGCGTTTGTCTTTCAGCTCCTTCCGGACCTCGGCGAGTTGCAGCATCGTTTCCTCCTTGGTAAACCCAAGTACGCCGCAAAATATTCTCAAGGTGAAGGCCTCCAGGCCGTCCAAGAGGTTTATCAAGTTCAAGAAACCCATTTCCTTGTAATAGGGGTCCTTTGGCCACACACCAAGCGGCACTTTGACCTTCTTGTAGGTTATGTTCTCAAATCCTGCATTCTCGACCCAACCTTTCAGCTTGGTACCGGGACGGCTATCACGACCTGTCGACGCAATGCCGTCGAAAAGAGTTTTGATCCACTTGTACGTGGCGTGGTCGTGGGTGAAGCTTCCGTCGTCTGAACTGTACTCCCCACCCATTTCGAGGAATTCTGCCCAGCCTCCTGGGTTCAAGTTCCTTCAGAAAGGATCAGTATGAGATGAGTCATTCACAAGGGGTTCTTTCATGAGACACGCACTTGTAACAGTTGCTGATCAGCTTTGGCCAATCTTGGATGGAACCCATCATCCAGTGGCAGTTGATGAAGTCATACGTCCTGTCAACCCAAGGGCTCTCGACGTCGTCAATCTCGAACTTGACATTGGGGGGAGCCCTGTTCGACAGTGTGACTCAACTTGCCAATTTCAATTTGAGAAGACCCACCATTCTGGCTGAATAGCGCTGAGATCAATACCGTGGACCTTGAACACCGGTTAGTCATAATTAAAACTGGCATCCTACACAAAATTTGTAATGAAAGGTGAAATATCAAAAGAAACTGGGAAAGTTCACCTCGGCGGCTGGGAAACGATCTGCAAAGTCGATTGCCCCTATCGAAGTTTAGCATCCTAGGCCCGTTTGAATCTAGAGGTGTTCTGGAAAAGAACTTACAGAGTCCAGTACCGGTACCAATGTCCAAAACTTGGTGGATGTTTTTCTCTTCGATGGGCGCAACATACAATTTGTCCCCGAGTATCTTCGTTGAGACAAGATGTGCGTAATCAAGTCGATCCATTTCGTTCTGTCAAAGTCAACATTTGAAGTCATAGAGTCAAACAAGAAACTCTCACTTGATCATTGGGCATGAAGTACGCTATGATGTGGCGTTAGCAGGGGACTTGAAATACAAAATTGCGCAAATAATGGTCAGAACATGACATACATCCCGCTCGATATGCGTGGTAGCGGCGACCATTCTCAATAGGGTAGTCAATGACGCTTGACATCAATGACGCAGTGTACGAGGAGCTGTTCAATTCGTCAGTGAAATGTTTCCCATCGTACACGGCATCCAAGGGGGCCTACAGCTGATCCTCATTTGCAGAATCATCGTCTGCGGGCTTTTGCTCATATTAGCAAAATCATCGTCTGCCGAATTTCGAAGAGGCAATGTTATACCACGGCCGCATCGTCGACTTCCAGAGGCGGTTGCTCGTCATGATCATTCCCATTCGGCGTAACCCGCGGGGGGCCTGTAGGCGGGGCTGTGGTCGTTCCAGCAGCGGAGGCAACGCTCGGTTGCAGCTCGGCTGTACCTCCGGTCAAGTCGGTCATGATATCAGACAATGCTATCTAGTTCGGACAGATGGTGATCAATCAAAGAGGAAGAAGGGTGTGAACAATTGATTGAGGACAAGTCTCTGAATTGTAGACATGAGGGGTTTATGGGTGTTTTGTCTGGAACGTCGGACCAGGCTGGCGTTGGTGCGAGGCGTTGGAAGAGGCCCAGCAATGCATGCAATCGACATGGATCTTGCTCTTTTCAACCAATGAGTACACACCGCGTGCCTATTCCCTGCTTCCGGCGTGGGAAAATCACATAAATCTCCACGTTGCCCAGAGATTCTTGCTGAGAAAGGCAAATGCTCCATGCTGTGGTCACATTTCTGCAGAAGGAGCACGGAGATCAACCCACTCTGATAGGAAGGAGTACGAAACAGACCTAAACCACCTGAACGATCTCTGGACACACACAAACGTGCCTTGGCGAATATGCGTCGAGTTTAACAACGCTGGCCAGCGTGATGAATGCATTTTCTTTCGCCCGGGCAATAGACTTTCCAACGCTGTTCGATTTGAATACCATCTCAATTGTGACAGAGATTCCCATCGAATAGTATCCAACGTGTTCGTTTCTGTGCTGCCAGATCCCATACAGACTTCGGCATCTCCGTCGCCGCATGAGTTGGACTTCGATGCGTCGATAACATGACAGATATCATTCTCAAACGGTGTCGCCGTGGGTGCCGCCCCTTTACACCCAACAGTAGCAGTCGCACTGTCCGTCAGATCGCCTATGGCCTAATTAGCCTCAGTCTACTGCGATTGAATCAGTGAACTTACACATATCCAATAGAGGCTACTGAAGGTTGTCTCTCGACGGGGCACTAATTAGTGTCAGTGAGCTCCAAAAGGCAACAACTGAGTTCGACCAACCTCCTTCTGACAGCGCGAGTAGCACGTCCAGTGATCGTCTTCAGAACAATTCGCAGGCTTGTTCACTGTTAGTTCAGCACATGAGTCTACTTTCGTGAAATACAACTCACTCCCCATTGGCTCAAAGGCGGCTTGTTGTTGCACAGCATTTGGGCGATCTTGGCTGAGGCAATGCCATGCAGCATGAATGTTGTGGCCACGAAAATCAGCTTCATTGTGGTGTCTTGCAATCGTATTCCAATGTTCCTGGGGCACGCATTATTCTATGAGTGTTCGAAATGGCCGGCCTTATATGTTCCAAAGTCGGGACCCCTTTCCTCATCTTGACCCGAGCTTTAGAATGACTCGAACCACGTAGCAGATTAATTCTCCTTGGCAAAATGAACTTTATACCCCATGGTTGAGGTCCTTGAGCTACCTTAACTCAACTCTCTCTAGTCTCGAGTGTCACCCAAACCGGTCATATTTCGAGTTATCTGGATAGATTGGAGTGAGACGATGCAAGTGGCATAACTCGGATTGAATTTGATGAGCCCATTTGAGTCTGATCTGCGGTGGGCCTCGTTAACACAACTGTACGTATGGCACTGCCTGTGCCCGACAGACGCTGTAGGCTTGACTCAAGAGTCAAGGTAGCTTCAACCGGCTACTGAAATTCTCTCAATAGTTCGGGAGCAGAGGCGAAGACAATCATAGTCAATGAGACCTACCTGCCGCCTCAAGCGCGATCCGAGCTATCGGTACTGATCGAGTTCTTCCTCAAGTGAGATGCATCCTGCTGGTTCATCCTGCGTGACTCGTCCGATACAAAAATTTCAAAGATGGTAATTAGGAAGAAAGATATTTGGAACAGGCATTCGCGATTCAGTTGTTAGAGGACTGACGTACCGCCATGGGTGTTTCGGGAGAGATTGAGTGCCGCGTGCGTGGGTAGTCAAATTAAGCTCGGCATCTGATTTCCAAAGGGAGGCTTTTATCGCCGAGGCAATGCATTTCTGAAGCGGCTGCTCGTGAAAGGTTTACTGGATGTAAGCTAGCGTCTTGTTCCAAGCAGGTCACAACTATAGTGCCAAGAACTTCAATCGAAAGCTTCAATGTTCAGATCTCACCGTCTCAACTTCTCTCTGAGGCATCCGCAGGCAGACCCACCCCAGTCAATCCGATGTGTTTTTACCGCCACGGGAGTTTATTGACGTTAAGTTACTGGTTGTAACTCGAGTCAAGCGTTGGGCATAGCGGCTCTATGCCGTGTCCAGACTCGCCTCCGGTACAGAAAATGCACCTATGACGCTCGGCTGTTTGTTAAGATGGGGTGGATGGTAGCGCGTCGTGTATAAAGACACATATCACCCAGACCATCTGACCTCAGTGAAAAAAAAAACGCTGAACTTCCATGACTGGATCGCCGCTTGACCAATTGGGGGGTGTCGCTTGAAGCTGCACATTCTGCAGTTCCATATCCAGCCTATCCGCGCATGAAGCATTTCTACACGCAAGCTCTGTCCGTTGATTTGGTCTTACCCTTCCATTTGAGACTTTCCTACGTTAACAAAACTTTTCTAGAGTCAATCAGACGGCTGAACAGAAATTACGAAGACAATATGTCTCCCCCCAGGTACATCGAAGGGCTGAACTGCTGCAATAGGGGCCCAGGGAAATCATTGCCCGGTTGCAAAGCATTATGGTATCCGGTATGATCATATACTTCTATCCATAATGTTTTAGCCTTTTACCAACTAATATCGATTGATCACTTATTCACAACGCGGACGCCTGCTTCTGTGCATCGATAACGTCAGTTTTTCGAGGCAAAAGAAGACACTCCAATCATCACATCAACACTCATACAGATCACACCCTTCACCGATAGACGACGCGGAGAACAATTATCGGGAATATCAGGCTCATTTCATTTGTCTATAATATTTGTATCTCACATAGATGTGCATTCCCAGCTTTCCAAACAATCATCACCCCTTTTTACAGAGGAAGCCCTCTCGAAATGAGGTCATTGCTCACGTACGGGAGCTCAAGGAGTAACGTGGAAACCAGCACAGGGTGTTCCGCTAGTGTTCTTGCAGGCCGAGTTGGCGCTGGCAATGGAGTAGGCGTTCGACCCAGTGCAAGAGAAGAAGGCCGAGCACTTGAAAGCCACGGAAAAGCCAGCAGCCCAATCCCCGTTGGACGCCTCCTCAGCGAAGTCAAGGAAGCAAGTGGATTCGAACTTCAAGGGGCCAGTGGCCGAGATCTCGCAGTTGCAGCCGACCACATTGGGCGTACCACCGCTTATTCCACCGATACGGGCAGTGCAGGTACCGGAGGGCTGGCCAGGGTTCTTGATAGGGTCGGTCCAGGTTCCGGAGATGTAGATCTCGCTGCCGACCTTGCCTCCAAGGGCGTAGTACTTGGCGTGGGCTTCCCATTTGCCAGCTGCACGCGCATCAAGTTCAGAACCTGCCGGGCTATATTCGCGTTTTTGATCAGAACTTGCTCATCAATCCTACTCAGTTGCAGACATACCTGCGTGGCTCCATGCTACCCATCTCAGTGGGAACGGCGCTCGCAAGAGCAGCCAGGAAAAGAATGTGAGTAGGGTTGAAGTGCATCTTTGCGGTCAAGTTGTGTGTTGGATCAAACGTAGAGCAGAGAGTGTGTCTTGTAGGAAGTGAACGAGTGTGGTGATTGAAGCGTGGAACTGCGGCTGAGGAGAGATTTCTTAGACGCCCAAATGAGGACGACAGTGCATGTTCTTATACGTCCCATGGTAGGCTATCTCTTGACCATGATCAGTGTGTCCTGGAGATCTTAGCATCGGCCGGATGTAGATAGTCTGCTGACCATCTTTTCTTCTGCCTAGGCAAATCTTGTTCACATCTCAATGTCGAGTCACTGTTTACTCAACTTCAAATGTCATTCTCATCTTCGGGTGCAGATAGTCTGCCAACTGGGGTTTCTTCTGCCTGGGCAAATCTCAGTGCTATGTCAACCTCGAGTCACGGTCTGCTGAACGTTCAGTGCTACTGTTCATGCCTCTCTGGCTTAAGCCCAATTGGTTTTGGAATGTCTGCCATGATTCACGGCGCTGCCGAACTTCCCAGCCACGTCGTTCGGAACTGATTACTGATGAAAACGTGCGCCGAAGACAAACATTATCGTCGCTTTCCAGAGCCGCTACTCTTCCATCAAGGTCGCACATAACAGCTCCAATGATTTTAAAACTAAAAGCTTCAAATATGTCAGATCATGCATCATGTCACCGTACGACTTTAACACTTTGAAAGTCAGTCAATTGTTCGGCCAACCATCATAACATCTGCATGACAATTGCCGTGTAGCTTATCCGTACAGTCGCGAACTTTGACTTGCGGGCTGAAAAATGAGCCAATCAAATAAACTTCTGATTTTTGACATGCAAACCGTCTAGGACAAATGGACGTTATGCCCCTGTTTGCTTGAATTGTCAGGTCTCCCATTTAGTGCGGAAAAAAGATGCGAATTCTAGATCAATCGATACTGCTGATAAGCATACATGCTCGCAAGCGGGTCGATCTTATTTCCAGGGCTTCTAGCGCCGGTTACAAGCTTTACGCTAGCGTCTACCCGCTGGTGCTCAGGGGATGTCCTCGGCCTTTGAGCGAGGCTGGCAACTTCAAAAGTGCCCTGGCGCCGAGCCGCCCGGCTGGGCTTGCTTGAGGGGATGATCCTGCCTTGCTGAAGGAATAGAGTTCCTGTCAGATTGACGCCTGTGTCTGGATGAACACTTCATCGCCCTCATCTTTATTCTGCCTCACTTCGGCAAAGCCGATTGATTTACTCTAGCCCCAGTGGAGATGCACAACAGGCGGCCGACTTTTGATGGCAAACTACGATCATTGATTCCTGGCATTGAGCGACTTGTTCGGAGCACCACCTGCTTAGCCGACCATAAGGGATCGCGCAGTGGACAGACGGCTACTGGCAACTCAGCTTGTCCCTACCGAGCGAGGATTCGTCAACGTCAACGATTACCGAAAGCGAGGCCGACATAGGCGAAGTCTAGAACGACAAAGACAGAAAGACGAAGCAGACACGAAATCAACTGGAGCGAATGAATCTATGCCTCGGTACGTGATAATGGAATTGGCGCCGTGTCAAGTTTTCGCGTGTAGCCCGGGCCTCTCAGGGCTTACTCCTCAGCCACCCCATGCTCCTCCGCCATGTACTCTTTACTTTCCCAAGCTCAGCCATGCGCTCTCGATGTTTCATGCCATGGACAACGATCTCTCTCATAAGGTGGTCAACTCCCGCTCCGGTCTTGGCTGAGCAGTCGACATAGCTGACTGCTCCAATCCTTTCTTGGATTTGAATTCCCTATTAAATAAGTGATTAGCTATCGAGGTGTAGATGAACACTTTGAATTGTCTTCACCTCTTGGTGATTACACGCCTGGTTCACTCCATGCGTTCCTCTGTTTGACCGACGATCCGTCTTCGTGCCTACCAGTATCATTGGTTTGTTTGGAAAGAGCGTCCAAAGTTGTGGTGCCCACTGCGAGAAGGTAGTCAACAAGGACGTTCATAATCAAGAGCTTCGTGACATGTGCGTGAGACAACAGCTCTCCGTCCATCTACTTACCATAGAGTCGATGTCTGAGACGAGATCGGGCTCGTCAACTGCAAAGCAAAGGACGACGCAATTTATACTGCCGGCTATGCTGTCGGCAATTTTGTGGATCGTGCCCGGAAACATTTCTTCGCTGATCGGTCCAGGACTATCCCATAGCACAAGCTCTACCGACACTGTTTTGGCTTCGAGCTCGATAGAACATGCTTTGGTTTGCGGGATAAGAGAACGAGTCAAGTCATTCTACGAAGTATAAGTCAGCTCACAGAAGCGAAACAAAAATGTACAATCTAGACACCTCGCAAGAGATGCAAAGAATATAGTTAATCATCTGCTTCTTACTATGTCGGCCAGAGTATCGCTACCAGATAAGTAACGACTTTAACAATTCTGTTAGCGACTTCCATGACAAAATAAATTTGGGTAGATCTGTCCAAATTTTCACGGCCAAGCAGACCATACGCACCTAATGAGAGAGGTCTTGCCGCTGTAAGTGCTCCCAACAAACATTGCTGTAACTCTTGGTGTCCATGCCGCTGATTGGTCTGTCCGGCTTAAACTGGAGCTTTCCCCAGAGCCATTGGCCAACTGAATATAGTCGCCCTTCAGGTTCGAACACGAGTTGCTTTTCAATCTCTGTGTTCCGGAACAATCCACAGCTGAACCCTCTTGGGGAGGCTCTACACGGAGTGTGATGCGCTCAGTGCTCTTTATTTGAGCTTCACTTATTGGCGTTGCATAATGCAAAGATGCCTCTGGGTTGGAAGCCTGCTGGCATATTAGTCTTAGAGTGCTGTCCTGAAGTCACCGTCAAGACTGACCGAACGATGGTGCGACTGGGTGAATTCTTCCCAAATCTTGAGGCGGGGGTGGTTCGGGGCTTCTAGTTGACTCGTGATGAAAGTATTCAAGTGGTCCGTTGAAGGGGTTATTTCTGAAGCTGCCAGGTAGGAATCCACATTTGTGTGATCGGACGGTACCGGACTTTTGGTTTGGGAGCAACGCTCATTTGAAGCGTTGATTACTGGATTCCGACTTGTGTGCATTATCCCACGTCCGGACTGTCCTTCTTCTTCTGCATTAGCAATCTTTCGATGCGACAGGAATCGCTTAGTCAGATTTTGAAAGAAGTCAGAAGGATTTGGATCCTCCGTTGTCGGTTCGGGAGAGGGACTAGAGTCACTTTGTATGCTTGTTCCTAACACAGTCTTGGACGAAGAGGACGAATCATCTACATCCAGCGACGGTGAAATGCTGGAGAGAAGAAGCCGATGCTCCTCTTCTCCATCGACATCGTCCTCGCGACAGCAGATTTCGATCATCATACTCAATGATTCCTTCAGTCCTTCGTGGCCTTTTGAACCAAGCTTTCGGTAGGCTTTGATGCAAGTCCTTGCGTGTAGACGAGCTTGTACCGGATCATCAAGCTTCATAAGCACATCGGCGAGAGCGAGCTTTTCCCTCAGAACCTCTGTTGAGTCGGCTGTTGCAGTCCTAGAGAGGAGCGCAAGCCTATCGATGATTGTGTCCTTGGTCTCTTCCCATCTTTCTTGTTCACGGTACAGGGTTACTAGATCCTCCAGTCCGTCTGCATGCGCAGAGAGATTCTGTCGCTGGCTTCTAGAGCTCCTTAGCCGTCGAACCCCTCTCTGGAGAAGTCGCTCAGCAGTCGCAAAGTTTCCCAACAGTAGCTCTTCACGTCCTCTCTTCATATGAAGGTTGACAATCTCGGCTTCTATCTCGTCGTCTGAGTCAGACTGATCTGCTGCTGAAACTGATATGATCGGAACAGAATGAATAGAAGGTGCTCGGATCAGGTTTATGTTTGACGTGCTGGTTACCCAGGCAAGTGTGCTGGGGTTAGGCTCCAGGGGCCAAATATCATGCAAATCCGAGGCTGCGACCGACTCGGAGGCATCTGTACAGAGAGACCATGAGGATGCGGTCGATGCGATTTTGTGTGAAGATTGCACACAATCTTTCATGTTATTGAGCGTCGACATTTCGCTTTCAATTTCACGAGAATCGGCGCGATTCTCCAGAGCCTTCATGCGCTCAGACACATCTTCTGCTAAGCGACGAATCGCCGTCGTAAGGTCCGAAAGACCGGGCAAGAACAGAGGCCCGCTGAAGACATTTTGATCTTTAGTCACGACCTGGTTCCATCTAAAAAACTAGTAAGAACATGCTCAACTTGGGGACAACTCGGTAAGTACTTACATCAGTACGACTTGAAGCGAGACAGATATCGTTTGCCGATAGGCTGATAGCTGGGTTTGAAAGACCGAGATATCTTCCCAAGATGACTTCAGTCTGAGAACCTTCCTCGTCGAATCCATGAAATCGACAGATTTATCAATTTTCTCCAACATGTCAGCAAATCCAGACATCATCTTCTCGCCATCTTGAATGCAAACTGATATGGTGTTCCAGTGGCTGGTCAAATCGCCCGTCGCATGGAGAGGAAGTGAGCGCACTTCTTTCGACTCCAGCATTCCCTTCATTGACTCTAGCATAGCCTTGAACATCTCCACGTCGCTGATCAGCATCTGCAATCGCCTATCAACACCCCGAGAAGAATCCACGACATCTTTCAGCGATGTTATGATCTTTGCGCTGGTGCCTATGAGGCTGATCACGCCAAGGGTGACGGAAAACGGATCCATCATGACGGCTTGATGGATCAGGCTGTGCTCTCCGCTGGCGCAAGCCGCATACTATCATGGGCGACGAAATAAGAACACGCTCACGGAAAGTGCTTGATTGTACTCCAATATCTAAGGCAAGGAGACATGTGCTTGAAGTTGCCAAACGGGAAGAGTGAGTGTGTCTGGGGATGTTTCGACAGTGGATGCAGTCGCCAACATAGCTGTGCATGCTCGGAAGAGGATGAGGGAAATATTTCCAAGCACACGTCAAGCTGGAAAGCATTGTGAGACAAAAGAGGCAACCAGAGGTCACGTTGGCTCAACTTTGTGGCGCGTCGCAGTTGCGGCAGGCTGGGCTGAAAAGTCTCACTAGTGGGTTGGTAGCTGCAGGCTATGAATGCCTTGAGGTCAGCCGCATGATCCTTCTAGGCCACGAAAGACGCCTAGCAATTGGTTCACTTGATAAGTTTCGCATTTGGTCGCCTACCTTTCTGCATGTACGGTTCTCGGTGTGCATCATCGGCATACTTCGGTTAACGAAATAGTGCAAAGTCCTTATCACTGGCCTCATCAACCCTAGTGGCTGAGTTCTGCTTACCCCACGCTAATGCTATAACGTAGAGACAAGCACATACAGTTGAAACATGTATTTGATGCATACGTTCCTCTGACACAGTAGTCAATTGCCATCAATGAGGTAAGGCATACTTGCTGCTTGGCAATGTTGGACTCGCTTTGGTGAAAAGTATTCATCCTTCAGCACTTATCGTCTCAGATAACCTATCTCGACCGCGCAGTTTAGTGCGATACGATGAGCACAACGTTGTACAAAAGTCCGATCGACAATTCTTCGTACCAAACAATAAATTCATCAAGATTTGTAAGATATCTCAACGCAAAATAAAGTCTATAATCTCTAACTTTGAACATCACCAAAAGCATCCACCAGCAACCTCTCCTCCTCCGCCTGATGCACCTTTTTCGACCCCGTCGCTGCCGCCGCCCCAGTTCCCCGCCCAGCGTACACGATCCGACTGAACTTGTGATTCTCCGACTCCGATGCCACCGTCTCCAGCCTATCGCGCATGTACTGCCAAGCACCCCCATTGTACGGTTCCTCCTGACACCACACGATCGTCTGCGCGTTCGGGTACGAGTCGAGGTTCTCCTTTACCTCAGCCCACGGGAAGGGATGCAGCTCCTCGATGCGCGTGATGGCTGTGTTCTTGATGCCCTTTGCGTCGCGGTGTTTGTGGAGCGAGGCGTAGACCTGGCCGCTGCAGAGGATCACACGATTGATTTCCTCTCGGGATAAGATACTGTTGCCGTGCTCTGGGTCGGAGAGGACTGGCTGGAAAGTTGATGTACCAGTAAGGTCGTGTACAGACGAGCGTGCTAGAGGGTGGCGCAGAAGGGACTTCGAGAAGAAAATTATCAGAGCTAGGTATGTTAGCACGCAGTATCCCCTAGAAAGTCTTGCAGTATCAACTTACGCTTCTTGTGAGGCGAGTAAACCTGCCGTCTCAACGCATGAAACAGATTCGCCGGCGTCGTCATGTACACAATCCTCTCATTACACTCCCTCCTCGCCCTCTCCAGATCCTCAGGCCACGCCCTAGGATCCTCACTCCCCAGCTCCAGAAACCTGCCCAGCCTCGCCGACGAATGTTCCGGTCCCTGCCCATCATACCCATGCGGCAACGACATCACAAGCCCGCTCTTCAACAACCACTTCGCCTCGCCCGAAGCGATGAACTGGTCAATCACAACCTGCGCATTATTCGCAAAGTCGCCAAACTGCGCCTCCCACATGACCAGCGAATCCCGCGCCGCGAGGGAATACCCGTAGTCGAAGCCGAGCACGCCGAACTCGCTCAGCGGCGAGTTGACGGCGGTGTACCGCGCGGGCTGGGGGTCTTGGAGATGGTTGAGCGGCGTGTACTTGGCGTGCGTGGTTTGGTCGTGCAGGACCGAGTGGCGCTGGGAGAAGGTCCCGCGCTCGACGTCTTGGCCGCTGATGCGCACTGGCTTGCCTTCCAGGACGAGGGAGCCGAAGGCCAGGGCTTCTGCGGTGGACCAGTCGACGGTTCCGGCGTCGAAGGCTTGCTTTTTGGCGGCGAGGATGCGTTGGAGGTTGCGGTGGAGGTTGAAGCCTTCTGGCACGCTGGTGATTGCCTCGGCGATGGTTGACAAAGCTGCCTCGCTCACTGCCGTCGATGTTGACGAAAGCTCAGAGGTGAGTTTATCTCCCGTCTTTAGATCTTCAACAGGCAGCTTGCTCCTCGCCAGCTTCTCCTCCAACTGCTCCCAAACCCACCTCTTCTGCTCCTCCACCACCTCCGCCTGCATTGTCCCCTCGCCAACCAGCTTCTCAATGTACTTTTCCAGCACCGCCGGCTGCTCTGCAATCCTCTTGTATATTTCCGGCTGCGTGAAGCTCGCCTGGTCGATCTCGTTGTGCCCGAAGCGCCGGTAGCCGTTGACGTCGATGACGATGTCGGACCGGAACTCGGCCCGCCAGTCGGCGGCAAGCTTGCACAGGAACACGACCGCCTCCGGGTCATCGGCGTTGACGTGGAAGATCGGCGCCTCGATGTACTTGGCCAGGTCGGAGCAGTACGGCGTCGATCGGGAGTCGGGAGAATCTGTGGTGAAGCCGATCTGGTTGTTCACCATGAGCCGCACCGTCCCGCCGACCTCGTACCCCTTTAAACCAGAGAGATTCAGCGTCTCGTACACCGGTCCCTGCCCGGAGAACGCCGCGTCCCCGTGTAGTGCCATGAACATGAGCTGGGACTGATTCACGTCCCCCTTGATCTCCTGCACGGCCTTCGCCTTGCCCTGCGCAACGGGATCAACGGCCTCGAGATGCGACGGGTTAGGCAGCATCTCTACCCCGACCACACCCCCACCCGCCGTCGTCCTCTCGCCCTCCATGCCGAAATGATACTTCACATCACCGGTCTGCCCGCCCTCTGTATCAAACTTCTCCGTCCCCGCAAATTGCCTGAACAGTGTCTCAAAGTCCTTGCCGTAGACAGTGCTCATCACGTTCATCCGCCCACGGTGGCAGCTCCCGATGACGATGTCCCGCACGCCGTGGACGTCGGCGCAGCGGTCTATCAGCGCCGCGAGGCCCGGGGCAAGACCCTCCGCGCCGTCGAGGCCGAAACGCTTCTCGTTGGGAAACTTGGTCGCGAGGAAGCGCTCGAGGGAGGTCGCCCAGATGAGGGTGTCGAGGATGCGCTGCTTCTCGGCAGGGGAGGGAGTGGAGGCGTGGTATGTCTCGACTCGTTGGCGGATCCAGTCGCGTTTAGCGGGGTCAGAGATGTGATGGTACTCAACGCCAAAGGAGCCACAGTAGAGCTTCTCGCAGGTGGCGATGATGTCGCGGAGAGGCATGGTTTTGGCGGTGCTGGCGAGGTGGGGGAAGAGGTCTGGTCCGAGAGGGATCTCGCGGTCGAGGTCTGCTGTGGTGAAGCCGTACTTGCTGAGGTTCGAGGAGCTGGGGAGGTCGGGGTGAGGGTGGATTGTGGAGTTGCCGACGTCTTCCAGGGGGTTGATCTTTGCTTTGGTGTGGCCGTATTCCTGGAACGCGCGTACGATGTTTTGGGCTTTGAGGTAGTTCACCGCATCGCTTGTTTCTGCTACGCTGATGACCGGCGCGTCTTCCGTGTACCGACTTGACATCAAGCCTGGCGGGGGTCTGAACGCTTGTGTGGACGGCACCGTGGGGTCCTCCATGTTGCGGAAGTAAGTCTGCCAGGAGACGTGGACATCTTTGGGGTTGGCCTTCCATGCTAGATACATCTCGTCGACGTAGTTTGCCGCCCCGCCTTGTAAGAAGGAGTCGATGGGACTCTAACAGACAGACTCTTGTCAACAAAGCCGGACGATACAATGAGATCAGGGTAAGATCTTACAGGAGGCGCTCTAAGATCAACCGCTTCCGCTGCCGTGGCATATGACCTGCCCTTTACAGGCGAAAAGGCTCTCGCTCCGCTGGAAAAGCATGCGTGCTGTAACTTGGGGACGAGGCTTATCTGCGACGGGTGATGGCGCCTCGCGCGGGCTGAGGTTGTACTTTGAGTCGCTGCGAGCGCCTTGACGGCCTCGCATCGCGAGGCCGCTCTGATTGACCGGAGCATGGTGACAGATGCTCAAAATGTGTAAGTTAGGAGACACGATGAGGTCCCCTGAGAATTTTGGGGTTTTCTTTCTCGTAATTCCAAGGAGGAATCATGGATCGATTTCCAAATCAACCAGGTAGCAAGAGCACGACAATTCCATAGATGAATATGAAAGCGTTCGAAAGCTTCAGTGGCGAGATTGGTAGACGCTGCTACTCGCCGGGAAAGATCTAGCTCCCAGGAATTGCCAGTGACATTTCGCAGGACGGACCGTAAGCAGACCGAGGTCGGCTACTTGAAATGTTAGTGACCGAGACTGAATGCGAATCTGCTAAGTTCCCCAATACTCTCCGGCTTTCATACTTACCCATACATTGATCGCTAGGCGTTATCTGATGTTGGTATAAGATGTGGTCCCCGGATGTTGTAGCCGAGAGTTGAGGTCCACCGGGACCAGTTGCCGCCACACCAGGACGATGCCCGGCGTCGAGGCGGAGGGGGCACGTCAATTTGAGGCGCAAAGCCTCCCCGCATTGAAGAATGACCCCAATCTTTATTTGGCATACATGTGGGGGTTTTGGAGTGGACAACAAATTCTTGAACAGCAGGTGCATGCGGATGGTGAAGTTTAGAAATCGAACTTTTACAACAGTTCAACGGTGCCAGTGTCTTCGGGAAACAGGGGGGGAAATGGGCTTGAACCAGGACAACGCTGGGCATTGGATTCTTCCAATTATCTACGACCAGACCTTCTATGATGCAGCAGTGTACGCCTCTCCGATGCCAATGCCAGGCAATGCTATCCCGCCCAGGTACAAAGAAAAGTTTACAAATATAACACGGACGCACAGCCTGGCTCTTACAGGCTGTTGTGCCATGTACCTAGTCCCCTCACTCTCTAAGCAGCAGCAGATCAGGCCAGGAGAAGTCTGGCGGGGTCCTCAATGTAGCTCTTGACGACGTTCAAGAAGGTGACGGCCTCGCGGCCGTCGATGAGGCGGTGGTCGTAGGTGACGGTGATGTACATCATGGGGCGGATCTCGAGCTTGCCGTTGACGACGACGGGGCGCTCCTTGATTCCGTTCATGTTAAAGACGGCGGCCTGGGGGTAGTTGATGACGGGGGTGCCGAAGAGGGAGCCGAAGATGCCGGGGTTGGAGATGGAGAAGTTTCCGCCCTCGAGGTCGGGCATGGTGAGCTTGCCGTCACGAGCCTGTAATCATGGTGTTAGCACCTTGTCATATTAATGAGTGTGAGTGCAGGGGGCTTACCTTGGCAGCGAGCTCAGCAACGCCGCGCTCAATGCCGATAATGTCGAGGCTCTCGACGTTGCGCAGCACGGGAGTGATCAGACCCTTGGGGGCAGACACGGCGATGCTGATGTCGACGTAGTCACGGTAGGTGATGACCTCCTTATCAGTGTCGATGGAGGCGTTGAGCTGGGGGACCTGCTGGGCAGCCAGGCAGGTGGCCTTGGTGAAGGCACCCATGTATCCCAGCCTGACGCCGTGGCGCTTCATGACGTCCTCCTTGTTGCGCGCACGCCACTCCATCAGGGCGGACATGTCGACCTCGTTGATGGTGGTAAGGGAGGCGGTCATGTTCTGGGACTGCTTGAGCTTGGCGGCGATGGTCTTGCGCATGCGCGTCATCTTCTCGACACGCTCGCCGCGGGAGAAGAGGCCAGCGGCGCCGAAGGGGGCAGCCTGGAGCGCGGGAGCAGACTCGGCGGGCTTCTTCTCCTGCTTGGGAGCGGGGGCAGGCTTGCTCTCCTCCTTCTTAGGAGCCTCGGGCTCCTTCTTCTGCTCCTGGGTGGGAGCGGCAGCGGCCTCGGAGGACTCGGCAGGCTTGCTGGCCTCGGGCTTGGGCTCCTCCTTCTTGGGCGCGGGCTTCTCGCCCTCAGGGGCGGCGCCGGTCTCGACGCGCGCGAGCTTCTGTCCAACCTCGACGGTGTCGCCCTCAGCGACGAAAAGCTCAACGATGGTTCCCTCCTCGGAGGCGTTGACAGCCACATCGATCTTGTCGGTCTCGATGCTAGCGACCTCCTCATCGACCTCGACACGGTCGCCGACCTGCTTCGACAGAGAGGCAATGGTGCCCTCTGTGATGGACTCGGCCATGGGAGGGACGACGATGGTCATCTCACCATGCTGGATGCGGGTGGAGGAGAAGGAGCGGTATTGCGACGAGGTCAGAGCAGGGTAGGAAGCTCGGGGTATCGTTCTCGTGGCGATGGATCGGAGGGCGGTCGTTTTTGAGGCGACGTTGGGGGAGATGTGAAGGCGGGCTGCGCCGGCGATTCTGGACGTCGTGGAGGGCCTGGCCAGGCGGCCGGCGGTCTGGAGCTGGGAGCGCATCATCTTGGAGGTTGAAGGTTGAATGAGCGACTCCTCAAGATCAGGGGTGCATCGAAGGGCGGGTTGGGAGAGGTGTTGAACGTGTTGGTGACTGTGTTGCGAACGAGAGGGTCCGGAAACGAAGCAAAATTGGCGAGGCAAAATTGGGCAAAGAGCTCTGCCGTGACGGGTGACAGAATGCGCCGCCGCTTTACTGGGGGTAGCTCCTTCCTACCTGAACTGTTTTGGGACCTTGTGACCCTGCTAAACATAGCAGTGCCAAGCTTAGAAGGTCCTTGTGATCACAAATGCAGCCTCTATCAATTCATGAACCAACTCTACATTTTCTACACCATTAAATACCATCATCCATAGATACCATTCCCATCTTTTACTCCTATTCTCTCTCTGTCTACTTCAAGAATGTCGATTTCCTTAAAGCAGCCCGCCGTTGTGGGAAGAAATCGGAAGCTCCGTGGCGCCGGCTGATCCCTGCTTTCAAAAGACGTTGCATCATTGGCCAATCGCCCTTTCGCTTCCGAGATTTTGACAGCGGCCGGAGGCAGGGTACGTACCGCCCCGTCTTCAAGCCCGCCGACCTGCAGGGGTTTTCGGCTTCTCTTACTCATCCCTTACCCGGCCAGACGGCTTCTTACCCTCCGACCCCTAAGCTGATCGCCCCTGTTGTTGTTTATCTTCGGTAAATCGTTTGTACGCGGTGGAGTTTTTGCATCTTAGTCATCAATCATCAGCGGGGCCTCAGCACGTTCTTGGTCAAAAATGGGTTTCGGCCGCAACATCCGACGCTTACTTTTTCGTGCCTGCATCGGATGGATCCGATTCGACGACTTGTTGTGATCAACACACTTGACCGCGACGCTGAAGATGTTCGTCACGTCTGCGCCAAGGCGTCATTGTTGTCCAGCCTGCAATTCGGATACATAAGGTAGTATCACTTGTTGAGTTCCCTTCATATAAAGCGTCAATAGCATATGTCCTGCCGCCTTGTCGATCAAATAAAACGCGAGAACATGCCTCCGCCGAGAACCACATTTAACAAAATTTGGAAAACACCAAAAGACTAGGAAAATAGCTTGATACAAAAGCTTGTATTTGTAAACGTCTCGCGGAATCATTGCTAGTCAGTCCCTCCCATAGAGAAACTGTCTTAACATGGGGTCGCCATATTCTTGCTCAAGGGTGCCTCAAGGAGTTTACAGGTTGTACCTGAACGCCTTGTCCTGCACGTCTGTCAAGTCCGAATCAACAGCGACGCCCATCTGCACCGCCTGTTCGCCTCCATCATGTCCGCCAACCATGTACTCATAACGGCCCTCACCCGCAAGTCTATCTCTCTTGGCATTCTCCTTCTTGATCGCGAACCCGTACACCGCATACGTCACGATTAACGCGACCCAGCTGGCGATACTGAGGATACAGCCCTTGGTGTACCTTGGCGCGTCGGACTCGGTCCACGCCTGCGGGGAGACGATGCATCCGATGCAGTACACGATGAAGAAGCCCGCACTAACCACGCTCTTCTTGGTGTTGCCCTTGACGTTCGACGCCATCATAGCCGCCGATGAGCTGAGGAGCGAGCTGCAGCAGGCGGCGAGCCAAGTGCTCGCCACGATGCCCCATTCGTAGCCTTTCGCCGGAAGCGCGAGCAGCATCGTAGAACCTAGCAAAGGGACCAGACACAGACCCATCGAGGTGTAGACTCGGGTGCCGGGAAAGAACCTTGGCACAAGAGCGGCCACCCAGATCGTGACGAAGCTGATGGCACCGCCAGGGAGGCCAACCAGCATGGTCTGGAAGGGCGAGTATCCAAATCCGTTGACGACAAGCGATGAGAACTAGACAAGTCAGCCCCAAGTCTTCCTGCAGATTTCACAAAGCGTACCTTCAAGATCGGCGTCGTCAACGTGATGCAAAGCGCCATCATAAAATACATCCACACCATCGGTTGCTTCAGCGCCTCCGTCATCTGTTTCGAATTAAACTCCGCCCGATCCCTCGTCCCACGATCCACCGCCAACCGCAACGTCGCCACCTTCCTCTCCCTCTCATTCAAAAACCACGCTGTCGTCGTATCCCTCGGCATCATCACGCAAAACACCACACCACACGCCGCCGTCAGCCCTCCACTAAGCAAAAACATCGCCCGCCACTTCTCAATAACCATCTCCTTCGCGCCGCCGATGCCGTACATCATCAGCGCGCCGAGGATCTGGCTCACGCCCGACATGGACACCCACGTCGCCACGCGGATCGGGTGCTCGCGGCGGCGGTACCAGTTGGACGTGATGATGATGAAGGCCGGGGAGACGGCGCCCTCCGCGAACCCGAGGAAGAAGCGCGCGGCGGCGAGGGTGTGGAAGTCGCGGGTTGCGCCGAGCGTCATTTCGACGCCGCCCCAGATGATGATTGTTACCCCGACGAATAGGGTGATGGGCAGCCGGGACATGAGGTAGGCGGCGGGGTACTCGGAGCAGAGCTGGCCGAAGTAGAAGAGGGAAATGACCCAGGAGAAATCTTGCCCTGTGAGGCGGAGGTCTTTGCGGAGGCCGAAGACAGAGGCGTAGTTGATGGATTGTTTGTCGAGGTCTGGTTTGAGTTGGGGTTAGCACATTTGATGCAGCAGGTGGTTGAAGATAGGGTTTGTACATTGGAAGAAATAGACGAAAGCCATGAGAGGCATCAGAACTCTATCGAGTTTGCGCACGAGAGCGCGTTCTTCCTCGGGGCTGATTTGCTTAAACGCAACGTGCTCTTCATCTTGTTTCTTCGTCATCTCGAGCTCCTCGGCCGTTGCGGCGAGCTGTGCATCGTCCAACTTGGCTGTCATAATTTGTTGGAGTTGAAGGTTTCAAGTTGTGTCGTTCTAAAACGTTGGTGGATTTGGATGGATACTCGGAACTTCAGGGTGCGCGGCTTCGGGAACTTATTAGCGACGTCCTCACCAACGAAACCTGGGAGATGTGACGACCAAAGCTTTGACGTTGAAAGAGCTGGACCTGTTATATACCTAATGGAGTTGTCGAGCGGGCCATAGACAAAACGGCAACTTGGTATGCTCAGAGACCCCTAAACCCCGGATCTGTACAACGCGCGGGGTTGCCCCAGGTCTCTCCGCACATCCGGGGAAGTAGCCGCGCCCACGGAACTAGCCAAGAGTTGCCATGAGTCTCAGTTGCTTGCTCATTCTGGGGTAAATGAGTAGGACGGTCTCAGAAGTGCGTCGCTTGCTGAAGCCGAAGCTAATCCCTGGCATGTGGTTGTTTTCGGTGATAACATCCGAGGGGGCAAGAGGTAAGCCAACAAGCCATGACTATTGGGAACAGAATGGTACCCCATAATTCATATTCTGTCTTCTGCAGAAATGAGAAAGAAAAATGGTAAAGAGCAACTCTCATTCATACTAACTGTTCAACGACTTGTTACAACCTTTGGTCTTGGCGAACGTCCTTTGGTGCGGGTTTGACTGGCCTTTCTCAAGTCCGCACGAATTTCGCAGTTCGTTGAAACACATTATGGACTCCTTGTGGAAGGTGAGAGCGTTTCAATGGATGAAATTTCACATCATAAATGTTTTGCGGTGTAGCTCGGAAGAAATGTGCGGGAAATCTCTATTAACAACATCAAATTAAAATCAGGTCGAAAGTGTCCTCATCTGCTCTCAATGTAGCAGAGACCGGAAAAACAACAGACCGTACCGCCAGATTATTTGGCGATTAGATTGCGTGTGGGATAAGAAGACCAACTGCCGCCACGGCCAATAGGGACCCCTGGTGAGTCGCCAGCCTCATTTCGTGTCAGACGTAAGATCAGGCTGCAAGCCAAGATAACCCCTCTCGCAAAACGTAGACTATCACAGAACATCTTCTTTCTCCCGTTCTCAACGCGTTTATCCGTCGAATCCACCGCGAAAGGCTTTCTACCGTGACGAGCTTGTGATTCATCATGGCTACGCCACCACGAGGTCTCAGACGTGAGGATTTCCAGATCGCAATCTTCTGCGCCGTCGGCTGCGAGTATGATGCCGTCACCTATGTCTTTGATGAGATTTGGGAAGGGGCTGAAGTCCAGCTTGGAAATGCGCCCGGGGACTTCAACAAGTACAAGGTCGGCCGAATCGCAAACCGAAACACTGTTCTGCTTCTTCTTGCTGGTATGGGGAAAGTCAATGCAGCAAGCGCAGCGGCGAGCCTCCGGTCGAGCTTCACTGAGATTAAGTTGGCTGTATTGGCTGGTATCTGTGGAGGAGTACCAGGAGTCGGAACCGACCAAGAGCTCATGCTTGGGGATGTGGTAATAAGTAAATGCATCGTGCAGTACGACCTGGGACGACGGTATGCGGACAGGTTCGCCATGAAAGACACCATCGAAGACAGTCTAGGAAGGCCCCACGAGAGTGTTCGATCACTCACAGTCATCTTCGACACAAATACTGAACGCGAGACTTTGCAGCAACGAACGAGCGAAATACTACAAAGTATCCAGCAGAGGGCGAGAAACGAAACGGAAATAGAAACATATCAGCGTCCTCCCATGACGGATGACTATTTATTCGAGCCAGATTATCTCCACAGGCACTATGATTCTCAACATTGTGAATGCAGTGATCTTGGAGCGTGCGAGGCAGCACGGCAGGCTTCATGCGACGAACTTCGGTGCGATTTCTCGCGTCTCGTATCGAGAGGTCGCCTTAAAAAGCGGAAATTTCAGGATATGGAATGCGACACCATGACGGCGCATGAACTTCGCGTTCTAGTTGGCCGTTTAGGGTCTGGCGATACGGTAATGAAGTCCGGCCTGGATCGCGACCGCATTGCTGAAGAGCACGACCTCATTGCTTTTGAGATGGAGGGAGCTGGCATATGGGATCAATTCCCGTGCATAGTTGTCAAGGCTGTGTGTGACTACGCAGACAGCCATAAGAACAAGAAATACCAGGCTTTCGCCGCGGCGAGAGCCGCCTCCGCAACCAAGGCAATTTTGGGAACCTTCCCATGCACAGAAATCTCAACTCAGTGTAAGTTTTTTTTATTTCAAGGATGTGGCACTTCCTGACTGGTTTTAGTTCAAGCTGAGCATGCTGAAAATTCGGACGGTTTACGACAACCTAGATTAACTAGGCCGATCATTCAACCGGTGACGACATATGCCCGAGAACATGACGATAATGACAGAAGATTGCTCCATTTGTTTGCTGTAGACCATGAAGCACACAAGAATTTCAACACCAAGAGAGTCCTTGGAACTTGCGAGTGGTTTCTCGGGGACAAAAGATATCGCCAATGGCTTGAGAGTACCACCTCAAACATCATTTGGGTGTCCGCCGGGCCTGGTTGTGGGAAATCTGTGCTGACGCGAGCGCTGATTGACGATGGAAAACTTTCGACAGGCTCTGTAGCCACCACGGTCTGCTACTTCTTTTTCAAAGAGGGTGACGAGCGTCGAATCAATAGCTATGACGCCTTGTCTGCTATCTTGCATCAGTTGTTCACCCAAAATGAAGCGCGGTGTCTGATTAACTATGCGAATACTGCTTTCAAAAATTACGGCGAAAAGCTGCGGAGTAGCTTTCACCAGCTTTGGAAGATCCTCGTAGATTGTGCTAGGAACACTGAAGCGGGGGAAATTGTGTGTGTGCTCGATGCTCTAGACGAGTGCAGTAAAGAAGGGCGTCACGACATTTTGCAAGCGCTCGAAACATTCTACTTCAGCGATGAGGCGCATGCCTCTTCATCAAAACTCAAGTTTCTCATCACAAGCCGGCCATATGACGACCCGGAGGTATCATTCAAAAGAATGGCGACTAATGAGTCTTATATTCGACTCGATGGCGATGAGAAGTCTGAAGAGATCCGTCACGAGATCGACCTTGTCATTGACCACAGGGTGAAAGACTTCGGAAAAGACTTCCGAAAGAGCACCGTGATGCCATTTCCGAACGACTGAAAACCATGGAGAATCGCACCTACCTTTGGCTTCATCTTACTTTCAGTCTTATTGACGAAAGAAGAAGCGCATACCATAAGCCCTCGACCGTACAGGCACTGCTTTCTAGTTTCCCTGCTTCTGTCTTTGATGCTTATGAGAAAATCCTGAGTCGCAGCCAAGATCAAGAGCAGGCAAGGAATCTTCTCAGCATTGTCCTCACTGCTACTGAGCCTATGACGCTAGACCAAGTCAACTACGCTCTGACATTACAAACGAGGAGCTATAAGACCCATGATGAAGTTGGCGATGACTTGTGGCCTCGCGAAAGCTTCCAAAGTACGGCAAGAAATCTTTGCGGCTTTTTCATCAGTCTTTGACGGGAAGGTTTTCTTCATCCATCAGACAGCCCGGGAGTTTCTGACTGCGAAACCTGATCCGTCAAATACATGGAAGGGGAGTTTTGACATGTGTTCCGCACACAGAAATAATACTCTCTCTTGTATTCGTGTCCTGTCATTACCGGATGTGGAAATGATCTTGGAGGGCGAGTTTCGTTGGAAGGAGGCACATTTCATGGCGTATGCGGCTTGCAACTGGACTGTACACTACAACTCCCAGGATTCCGCCGCCAGAGCCGAACTTTGTCAAGCTGCCCGCGACATCTGTCGCACAGCATGTGGACGAGGGCCTGCATGGGCTATACACTTCGAATCGCGGGATTTTCGTACTGATCATGAGTATGCTTCGCACTGTTCGGATTTGACGCTTGCAAGCTATTTCGGCCTACTCGACGTGGCTGAGCATATCATCAGGGAAGAAAATGTCGATGTCAACTCCGAAGGGGGTTATTTCGGCACAGCTATCAAGGCTGCAGCTGCGGGGGGTCAGCTCAGTCTCGTTCAAGCCCTGACTCAACATGATGCTGATTTTGAAACCGGAGGCGGCTGCTTTCCAACAGCTCTTGTAGCTGCTTTTGCTCAAGGACATTTAAATGTGGCGCAATACCTAATTGGCAGAGGGCACCGAATTACGCAAGAGGTTGTAGAGGCTGCTGTGAGTGAAGAAAATGACGTGCAACAAATCGCTCACCTGATAGAAAACTTCAAAGAGCATGTCACTATCACGGAGGAAGTCACCGAAGCTGCAGCTGCCAATCCCATTTGGGGGGCTGACATTTTGGCCTTTCTTTTGGATAGGTGCGGTGATCAAGTTGGAATTACACAGGAGATACTGAAAACTGCTACTGCGAATGAGGGCTGTGGTGACGAGATCATGTCTCTACTCATAGACACACGTGGGGATGCACTCGATATTACAGAGGAAACACTGAAGAGCGCAGCTGGTAATAGTGATTGTGGGGCAGAGATTATGCGCCTACTCATAGAAGAATACGGGGATGTGTTGGACATTACGTCGGCAGTTTTTCAGACGGCAGCAGGTACTATCGACGGCTTTGCGACGATGAAATTACTTATGCAGGAGGGTTGCACCAATTTTGAGATCACTCAAGAAGTGATCCTGGCTGCGGCCAAGCGCGGGTCGGAGGACATGATGAAGTTCTGTTTGGACGAATCTAGGGATATGTTCCAACTGACGCCTGAACTTATCCTAGCTGTAGCCGGAAATAGCTTTTATGGAGGGAAGATGATGACGTTGCTGTTGCAAACGTTTGGGAACAGGGTCATCATTACACAAGATGTCATCATGACTGCAGCGCAAGCATCGTATGGGGATGAAACTTTGGCAGTATTACTTAACCATCGTGGAAGCGACCTCAAGATCACGAACGAGATCGTTATAGCTGCAGCTATGAATACAGATGGAGAAGGCCCGATGGCCTATTTATTGGAGCAGCACCGTATGGAGGTTGAGATTACGCAGGAGCTTATTTCAGCTGTACAAGGAAATAGGATGCTGGGGAAAAGGATGATGGCCCTCCTCCGAGACAAGCGTGGGGATGAAGTCAAGCTGTATGAACGCGAACAGGTATGATGGCGGATATTCAATTGGACAATAATAAGATGATCTACTTGACTCATCGAGAAAAGTAACTAGACGACGGAAAATTGCAAACACCTGTACGTGTTGTGTCTGTATCACTTTGGAAGATACCACATGGCCCGGGGGGCCTTCAAGCACTGTTAGCAGGTTGAGCAATCGCTTCCACCTGTCCACGGGTTTTCTTTGCAATTGAAAGTCTTCAACCACAGGCACGTAATATTGGAAGAAAATATGGCAGCAACAAAGCATTTTCTGGCGAATCCCGCGACGCGTTTCGGTTTCTACAATATTTGACACGTCTTGGGAAGGTAGAACTTACTGTCAAGTTTGCTTGCCAGGTAATGGCTGGATATATGACGCTGAGGTCCTTAATACATGGGTCTACCCTACATGAAGATGTCTATTTTACCTTTCTCATTGTTGGTTCCCCCATGGAATCTGGTTTTCTAATGCCTCCCAATCCGTCTGCTCAACCCCTGTAAACGAGAATCCAGGTGTATGATAGATCCAGTATAAGCTGTTCTCCCCTTCCAACGGAATGCTGGCCAAGTCCGCGCCGCCGAATTCAAAGCTCTGCTGATCATCCTCACCACAGGCCTCCACCCCGCCCACATCTCTGGATCGCGACCGAGGCCTCTCCACGGCATTGAGTGAAGCTGTGGCCTGCTCCACGACCCCATAGCCGCTCTCAAATGAGAAAGGCTTTGCCAACATGTCCGCCAATGACTGCTGGGGTGTTTGCCCAGTCCCTTGCTGCACAGGTAACGCTAGGTGCACACACATTTGGTCCAGCTCAGCAAGCCGGTTCGCCGCTGCGCGGTTCCCCAGACCCACTAGGTATCTGAGGATAGATCTGGATCCGTCAATGCCTTTGAAACCTAGATTCTTTCCAGGGTTGATAGCCTCGACCAGCACAAAGATGTATCCCACTGAGAAGGTGGCATCCAGATCGTGGAAGGCGTTCTTTGCTAAAATTTCTTTCTTTCGGAGTTCCTGGAGGATGACGAGAGTCTTACTGGCTGTCTCGACACATATCTCAGCGAGTCGTATTAAAGCCGGACTGACTTCGTTTCGAGCGTCTTCGCGTTCTGGATCCCGGCTATTGCGGGCCATGTACAGCAGAATGGGTCTGACGGTATGTATGACAGCCTCGAAAAGTCAGTAAGGTAGATCGGAGATACATGTGACAAGGGTTCTTACCATGTAAACAGCTATGTACAGACTTGAACTAGTTCTTGAGGTCGTTGGCGTTGCATCCATGAAAGGACGCCCGGCGACAAGAATACCTGATGGTTTAATCTCCATGAAGTACTCCGATGGCATCGTCTTCTCGACTTCGTAGAGGGAGTGAAGAATATTCTGGACATTGTTGATAAATGTAGTCTCGTGGTCGTCCTTTTGGGAGTAGATAGCTGTCGGCTAATTAGCACTGAGGCCCCGATCCCTGCCTGGCTTTGGAGGCAAATACTTGATGTGATTTTTCCTGTCAGTCTCGCTGTCTTCACGTTGACACCCAACGCTGTTGCCGATGGAAAGCCGAGGACTTCATGCGGCGGAGCTGTGGCGATGGCGTAATCTTCAATGGACATGGGATATCCGCCAGCCGCACATAGTCTCCTGGGGCATTCTCAGTAACCAATACACTCGACTTACACATGGGACGTACCTTTCCTGCATATAGATAGACCACCAAAGCCTATTGCGGTGCACGCTATCCGACCGCCTTAAATTTGGCGTTGAATTTGCCCTGTGCATGCCATGGCTAATAGCGAGTCTCAGGGCCGTGTTAGACTGTGTAGACTAACCGTTAGTGATCGCATTCATGGAGCCCAAGAATCCATCAACTCACATGTAAATAAGCATCATCTTTTCGATCGACGATCTGAAGGTAGAGAGCGGTCAAAGCCATCACTTCAACGCCAACGATGCCATGCTTCCTCAAATCACTCAATAAAGGAGTCCGCTTGACTGCCTCTTGAAAGAACCTTGTCCCTGGAAGATCGCCATTCTCATCATCCTTGCTTTGGAGTAGCCTACCCACAGCAAATACCAAGAGAGCTTCCACGATCCAGATCTCAGTAAGTCTCACATTCGCGCTGGTCTCTTGATACAGCACGGAGAGGTTATCCGAGAACGCCCGGACATCAAATAACTGCTGCGAAATGCCGACGTTGAAGACCACAGTGTCCAACATAGCATGCGCGTCCTCTTCTGTGGGCCAAGGACCAATAGCCTCGAGTAGACCCCGGCGGTCAATGTGCGGAAGTGGAGTCACACCGGTGTTCGTCGACGGACTCGCAGTGGAGCCGGGGTTCGAGCGAGAAACAAGAAGCGTCTTGATTTCGGAGCCGAATGTCTCGGACGAGGACAGCGCTGATTCCGGAGCAATGGCTGTCGGAGTCAGTATCCGAGGGCAGACGAGCTGTGGAAAAGGATCATTGTGATGGGCCCACTTACCCCTTGCAGTTCGCACTGGTGAGGACGTAGACACGGGCAAGACCTCCACGGCGCGTATCCTCTCAAACGTGGGGGAGAACGTGGGCTGAGACATTGGAGGGCGGAGATCTTCTGGAGAAAGCAGGCTCACTGAGATGCAAGACTCGTCTTGCGGACCCCCACGCGGCACATGAGGCGTTTCCGCCGCTTCGTCTGGAGGCATATGCCACCCAGGCGATGCTGGCTGTGGTGATGCCGTTCCCGGGGCGGACTTTTCTCGGGTTTGTCGTTCATAGAAGGCGACTTTGTCTTCAAGCTCCCTGACTTGTCTAATTCATCCAAGTTTCAACTCAGCCAAGTTTCTTATCGAAGCGCCTCATATTTGGTCGGGTATGGGAGTAGGAGAAAGGGACCTACGAGACGGAATACAGCTTCCTCTTCTCCGACGCCGCAAACACACAATTCAGTCCGCGCTTGGCACAATACTTGCATGGCCGTTGCCCCGAGCACTTGACCTTCTTGTCGCGGCAAATTTGGCACGCATTGGACGTGCGAGCAGCCTCGGCTTGAGAAGCCGAACGAAAGCGTCTCGCGGCCGGGGCACTGGCGGGCGGGCTGGACGGTTTGCGGGTTCCTCGTCGGGGCGTCGGTTCCGAGTCGACGTCCATGTTTGGTAGGCTTTCTCAAGCTCCGCCGCGCCAAGGAGCGATTGCAGTTCAGATCAGTCTGGGGAAGCGGGTGTTGTGGTTTGGTTTTGTGTGAAAGGGAGACTCATCCGTGGGACTGTTGTCGATGGGACGATGTCGGAAAGTCGTGAGCGGTGGGGCGGAAGGCTTAGAGGCGCTAAAAATTGGGGCTGGTAGGGGCTACGAGCTTTGGGAAATTCCCCCTCTGGGAAGATGCGCGACGTCATGAGCCTTCGCTAGAGAGACTCACACAGCAAAGGATGCATATTTGCCATGAATCTCTAAGTTCTATTTTTTTTTGTTTTTCAAATCTGGTAACGCAAATAAGGAGCAATTGCGGACCACTCAAACTAATACTCCTACTCCGTATGCCAAATGTGGAGTGTTCATCCATCATTTCATCGTTCATTTTATCAACATCCAAGGAGTCGTCAAGCTTTGTGACTTCCGAAATAGTTGCTCGGATGCTTGTCTCGAGTCTCTCCAGGTCTATCACCTCAGTGTCGTATTCGAAATTTGTCCTGGTCATTCTGCCGACGTTCTTGATCTCTCTTCATTTTAGCCGCGATAACTCATTCCTCAAAGCAAAGCCCTCAATCATGGCCCTCTTTTGTTATTGTTCTGCTCCTTCTTCCTAAGGTGTACTGTCCTTGTTGTCTTGCTCATTTGTGTGCGGTTTCATCGGTCGATGCGCGTATCGCTTACATTCACTGTCGTTGCCTCGACTTTATCTGATGCTTATTGAGTCCATGGACATCCATCAGAATGCGCCCGTCGACATTGCGCTTCACCTCGTCCATGTCAGCAATCGCGTTGCCTTTGCATGTGCAGCACTCCACGCCGAGGCCCAGCCCCTTTTTGGCCCTCTCCAGCAAACGTCGGCGCACATTTTCGGGTCGTGGTGAAACTCGGTTGGATAGCATTCCAGTCCACGAATTGGCTTGTTCCCGGAGAACTCATGGATGGAAATCTCGTGGACCATCCAGACGAAGGACTCTCCATCGAATCTGAGCGCTTCACCGTAGATGACAAGGTCTGTGCCAGATTCCGACTTCTTGTACGAAGTACTCACAACCCTGAAGACCATTTTGGTGTTGCAGTCGCTGCTGCGTACCATGGTCCCGTTGGGGAAATAGGTCCATGCGAGATCGAAGTTGACTAGCCCTCTGGCTTTGAGTTGGTGTGATTGCTTCCTCGTCTCTCCTAGTATGTCGTTAAGCGTAGTAAGTAGGTTTTCCAGATACACCTTCAACGAGTCATCATTCGTACTTTCGCACAGCCCAACTATCTCCTCGTAGCAGAAGTACAATGAGCGGAAGGGTCAATAAAAAACAATAGGGCCATTGTCGTCAAGATGGAAGCCTTCGTTCTCCAGTATCAGTCCCAAGATCTCTATCAAGGCGGGATGCTGTATTGTAATCTTCTGACAAGTAAATGGAGCTTTTCCGTTAATCGCTGCCTTGTCTTTATCCTCGACCATTAAAACATCGACGGCGGGCTGAAATTTGCCTTGATCCCACCTCTTGCCCATTTTTATCGGAGTATGGCCGGCCAATGAATAGACGGTAGAGACATGACGATCCTCCGCATACTTGGTAGTCTTGACGATTGTATGAGCGGGATATCTCTGTGGTACGTCACTCGGAGGGTCGACATATCTATGCGTGGCCTTCGTTTCTGGAATGCTGCGGCGCCTCTCGTTCTTGGGCCTGATCTTGCGGATCAGCATCAGCGTCTTTATCGTTGCGAGTAAAACCATCTTTCCAAAAGACGACAGTGAGTTGGCGAGAAATACTCTGCGGCGCGAATACTATGCGGGTGAGCACAAATGATCCGATGGTATTTTGATGACGAGGAATGGATGGAGGGGGACGGACATCAGAAGTGGTTTTGTACGTAAGTGTAAGGTAGACAGACCTATAGAGGTTCTCACACCCTGCAAAAAGAATCAAAACTAAACCTTGAAACCTGCGGATGACCAAAGAGGTTCCTCCTGTAGGGTTAGGGCTGCAAACTGGTGTTCGTGAAATCTCGGTAGGACCAGGTAAGAGGCGGGCGATGGTCAATTGGAGACGCATTGGCATCTATTGCTATCGACTCGATCAGACTACGAGGGATAGCCATCGACATGTAGGTTGGAACACTTCCTTCAAGACAGAATTCAAATGGTGTACCGGAAACCTTTGTCCTGAACATCCGTCAAGTCGGAGTTCACGTCCACTCCAGCTTGGTCATTATTCCACGAAATATTCGCTGAATACTCAGACTGCCCTGCATCAGCCTTGGCATCTCGACTCTTGTTCTTCGCTCTCACAATGACAACGTATCCGGCAAACGACAAGATGAGACACACCATCGCCGCAGTGCTCAAAATACAACCCTTCCGGTATCGTGGCGCATCATCCTGCGTCCATGCTTGTGGGCTCACGATACAGCCCACACAGTACGGCACGAAAAATGCTGTTGACACAATGCTTTTCTTGGTATTCCCTTTGACGTTGCTTGCGATGATGCTGGCTCCAGTACTCAGCAGGGCTGAACTGCAACCACCAAGCCAAGTTGAGACGACAATGCCCCACTCAGCACCTTCGGCTGGCAGAGTCATCAGGAGAATTGCACCGAGCAAGGGCACGATGCACGACCCAATCCCAGTATATACCCTCATTCCTGGAAGCCAGCGTGGAATGAGGGCACTAGCCCACACTGTTGTGGCGTTTACTGCCCCCGCAGGCATGCCCACCAACATGGTCTGAAATTTCGAGTAGCCGAAGCCGTTAATGACCGTAGCATTGAACTAAGAAGAAACCTTTTGGTCAGTACGTGTCCTTGAATAGGCTTTGTTGGGGTGGCAAAAGGTCGTTCACACCTTGATGATTGGGGTTGTCAATGTGATGCATAGGGCAATCAAGCAGTAAATCCAAGTCATCGGCGACATGAGTGCCTCTCGAACTTGAGCTTTGTTGAATTCAGCGCGATCTCGTGTGGCTCTATCGATAGCCAGTCTCTGTGTTGCGATTTCTCGTTCGCGAGGGCTGAGAAACCACGCTGTCGTGGTGTCTCGAGGCATCATGAAGATGAAGAGGAGCCCCACAGCGGATGTCAGAGCACCGCAAATGAGAAAGAGAGCGCGCCAAGCAGCGAGATGTAGGTTCCCATGTCCAATACCATACATCAGGAGCGCGCCAACAATCTGCGAGACTCCTTTCATAGAGACCCAGGTCGCGACTCTAATGGGGTGCTCATTCCGCTTGTACCAGATGCTGGTGATTAACATGAAAGCTGGCGAAACAGTGCCTGCAACATGTCAGATGGATGTTGTCAAAGGCCGAAAAAATTATTATCTCACCTTCAGTGAAGCCCAAGAATAATCTTGTAGCTGCAAGCCCGGCGAAGTCGTGCACAGCTGCGAGGCACATGTTTACTCCACCCCAAATAACGATGGTGATGCCAACATAGAGAGCGATTGTCAGCCTTGATAGTAAGAAAGCTGCAGGATACTCCGAACACAGCTGGCCGAGATAGAACAGTGATACGGCCCAAGAAAACTGCTCTCCTGTGAGGCGGAGATCCTCCCGAAGCCCGAAAATGGCAGCCTGGTTGATCGACTGCTTATCGAGATCTGTCTGAAGAGATTAGTATCTGCTAAAGCGATTCAAGGACGATGGACTTTTTACACTGAAAGAAGTACACGACGGCCATCAGGGGCATGATGACGGCGTCGAGCTTTCGGACAACCTTTTTCTCTTCATCTGGGCCAATGCTGAAGATTTGTGGTCGGTTTTCAACCTCTTCAGCTCCGGGGTCAATTTCGTTTCCCATCTTTTCCAATGCCACATTGGAGGATCTTCTTGACATGGCGAAATCTGAAATGGTGAAGGCTGAGTTGTAAAGATCAATTAGAGAAACTGTTGATCGACCAGTATGGCAGCTATGGAGATAAGATATGCCTGGGGCTATTTAAATACCCTAACCTGCTGTCGCTCATGGCTTCAAGGCTTGGCTGCCAGTCTGTGAATTCAATACAATTGCCTGACCTCACACCCGTCCTGCACCCGGGGAAAAGGAAATATGGAATCGAAAGCCGAGATATTCAATATCCACGGGTCTCCTATGCGGCGGCTTTAGATGGGAATAATCATTTTCGGCTCTACATCCCGCTCTTTCGCAGGAGTATTCAAGCTCTGTGAGATTGCCGATAGTGCAATGATCTGCTTGTTGTGACGGTTACCGAATGGAGACTCCAATTGTGCGTAAGCTGAGAGGTCGTTGCCCGCGTATGTTGTCGTTGGGGAAATCAAACCCAATTCTTGGCTTGCATGTCAGTCCCGGATGAAAGATCCGTTGCAGCGGTTTCCCAAACCGAGCCTGAGGGGTTGGTTGGTTATCATGAGGTTCTGCCGAGTGTCCCCCGCATCACTCCGCAATTGACCCGGTCAGCCTCCGCATTCCGGCACCCTGACCCGTCCTAACAGCACTCCTTAAATGGACGACTACCAACAGAGTGAATACACCTGCTATCGCAAACAAATAACGCCGTTGAATTAATGCTGCAACTTAAGGGCCATGTCCTTGCTCAGGTCTTGCGTTCGACCCATCCCAAGACGGGCCCCGTACAACGGGTTCCTGACTACAAGGTTACTGAGTAACAATCCCTTCAGATTCAAACCCCATAAGACGGAGAGATCTAGCAGCGCGAACCATGACAACCGTGGCACAAGCTGGTTGAACCCAGCGTCTCTCTTGTTAGCCACAGCCACAGCGACTCTGGGATACGCGCTCGCGAACAGTGTCAACAAGTCACCAACATCAAACGCGATTTTACACGACGACAGGTTGCCTGCGGTTAACTATGCAACGTTCAACGACATGGACAAAGTAAGTATTTGTCCCTGAGTATCGTAGTACAGTCATACCTGACCCATACAAGGCCATTGATGAAATCCGACGGGAGCTGAGTGACACAGAAGACGTCATCTCAACTGATTCTGAAGACCTCCTCCCTCATTGTTAACTCAGAGTGTTCTTCTGTCAACCTCGACACTCTTCCAGTTGCTGTGGCTTACCCACGAAGCACGGAGCAAGTCAGTGCTATTGCTCGCATCTGCCACAAATGGCGGGTGCCCATCATCCCCTTCAGCGGTGGCAGCAGCGTCGAGGGTCATATCACAGCGCCCTTTGGCGGCGTAAGCATTGATTTTGCACACATGGACAAGATCGTGAAGTTCAACAAGGATGACATGGACATCGTAGTGCAACCGAGCGTTTGTTGGACGGACCTCAATCAACAGCTTGCCCAGCAACACAGCGGCCTGTTCTTCCCCATCGACCCCGGTAAGAGTCCATTCTCCAGGTAACGGTAACATCAATGGCGGCAATGCGACTGACACCTTGACTTTCCTCAGCCCCAAGTGCCAAGATCGGAGGCATGATAGGCACAAACTGCTCTGGCGCAAACGCTGTACGCTACGGCACGATGCGAGACTGGGTCATCAACCTGACGGTCGTCCTTGTAGATGGATCCGTCATCAAGACTCGGCGCCGCCCGAGAAAGTGCTCTGCGGGGTACAATCTTAATGGCATCTTCGTTGGCTCAGAGGTCACCCTTGGGATCGTCACGGAGGCAACTCTAAAGCTTGCCGTTGTCCCACACCACTTCTCCGTCGCAGTCGTTCCCTTCCCGACCATCAGACAGGCCGTCTCAGCTGCAGCAGACGTCATACGCGCCGGGGTGCCAGTCGCGGCTCTGGAGCTTATGGATGAAGCTCAGATGCGCATCGTCAACCAAGGCGGTGCCACGAGGCCACGGGTCTGGCAAGAAAAGCCAACCCTATTCTTCAAATTCTCCGGTACACAAACTTCCGTTAATGACAACATCAGCAGCGTTCAGCGAATCGTGGAGCCTTACAGCCCTGACGTCTTCGAGTTTGCCAAAGATGAGCGTGAGCAGAAGCTTCTGTGGTCGGCCAGGAAGGAGTCGCTCTACTCTCTGCTAGCTATGCGAAAGGAGGGTGAGGAGATGTGTAAGTGCCTCCCCCTGGCCCCCTTTCCGTGCTGCCCAAAACTTACTCCGCACACTCCACTTGCCATAATTGCACAGCATCAAAATCATCCAGAAACAAAAACTGTCGTGCATGCCGGTGGGGGCTAATAGCTGCCGCTCATGCTGCGTTGGCTGACACGAGAACAACATTGCAGGGAACACTGATGTTGCCGTCCCTCTCAGCCGGCTGGCCGACATCGTCGAGGCCAGCAAGGACGAAGCGCAAAAACTTGGCCTCAACGCCTGTATCAAAGGTCACATTGGCGACAGCAGTTTCCACGAAAATATCACCTACAACAAGACCATACCTGAAGAAGCCGCCAAGGCCAAACTCGCGGTCAAAAACATGGTCGCGCGCGCGTTGGAGATGGACGGCACCTCGACGGGCGAGCATGGAATAGGTTTGGGCAAGAAGGACGCCCTAATGTCCGAAGTAGGAAATGATACGATTACCGTGATGGTGTGTTGGACCCTGAAGGCGGGGGTTGCTGGGGACATCCCTCTCGGCGATCGGGCTGACCTTTGCTTTTCCCGCCATGCAGAAGCTGATCAAGGGCACCCTGGACCCCAACTGGATCTTGTAAGTGGCTAACCCGCACGAGTCGGCACAGATCCTGAGAGTGTGCCATGCGCTAACAGCGATTCATGTCCCAAGGAATCCAGGAAAGATATTCGACCGGTAGGTTTACGGGAGAAACCAGCAATGACGAAACCACGTTTTGTATGTCGCAAGCCCAAGCTTAAAGTCTCACAAAGCAATTCGGCTGGTGGTTCCACATCCAGCTCTGCATCAGAAGAGCCGTTGCAATTGATATGACCCCCCGAGTCAGAATGCGTAACACATGTTTTGTTTGTTGTACCAAGTGCGACTGCCAGCCTCACTGGGTAACGGTGGACAAGGGGCCTCGATGTTCCCCGTTCGTCAGGTCCGAACGGGCCCTGAATTTGTTCCCATTAATTTTTTTTCTGCCCTGCTTTCTTTTGTTATTCCGACCGCCGTTCCACCACGTTCCTTGTTTGGCTTTGTCCAAAAACCCGGATTCTTGAGGGGGGAAACATGAGATTTCCAAGGCCCAGGGTAGCACCCGGGCTGGATCACACCCCTCTCCGTTTGTAACGGTCGCTAGCCTTTCCCTCCCCCTTTGTACTCTGACAACCGGCGGGTTCCCGCGTTGTTGGGCACAAACGGCGGCAGTGCAATTGGGCGGCTTGAGACCAACAGGTATAACGCATAGTCTAAGACACAATACATCTCGTCCCAATCATCATGGTCCCCATTTTCCAAAGTTAGAAAGGGTCAGATTCCCGACAATGGACTAGTCATGTCATCGGGTCATCACGTTGTGATCTGCGGTCCCCTTTATGCCTCCTGCCGCAGAGGCAACATCCTGGCCCGCACGCCGCATTGCGCGACTGTCTGCGCGACGGCCATATTTACCCAACCGCGTGCGCCCCCAAGCCGGACGGCCCTCCGACGGGCAGAATTGAGACTTTAGGACGAACCTCAGATGAGATACGATATCTGGCGGTTCGGCTGCATCTAATACGCCTTGCTTGCTGATCTCGCTGATCACCTTGTCTCTTTTCTCCTCGGAAGCCCATCAACACTATCAAACCCTCAGACGACAGGTTCATCATGTCTACCTGCACTATGGTGCTTACCGAGCCCCTCACGGGGCTCATCTCTTCACCAACCATCTACCTTGACGATAAGGGCGATCTAAGGCTGCATGTCGGCAGCGAGATCGACGAGAGCCCTCAAGATTTTGTTGTATGCTCAAGGGCGCTCGGTCGGAGTTCCCCGGTTTTGAAGACAATGTTATTCGGTGGATTCATGGAGTCGCGCCCTGAAGAGAATGGTGGAGAATGGCGCGTTGAGCTTCCCGAAGATGCGACGGAAGCCATGGAAATTGTTCTGAACATCGTCCATGGCCGATTTAACCTGGTTCCTGAGAAGCTTACCCTAATGCGACTCTACGACGTCCTGACCATCACCGAGAAGTACGACATGACCGTGATCACGCGACCATGGGCACGTTCTTGGATGCAGGGTGTAAAGCACCAGAAAGATAATGCGCACCTGCTGTGTGTTGCATGGGAACTCGGCGACATGGAGACCTTCGAGGAGATGTACAAGAAGATCACCTTTGAGTCTATCGTTGACTTGAAGGGTCGGTTGGTCTTCGGACACTCTGGCCGGATTTGGAAGCAAGGAACGGAAGGCTACAACTTTCCTCTCGAGAGGATCGTGTATCTCAGGCCTCCTGAAGTCTTTGGTAAGTTACCATTGGATACCACAACTAATTAAATAACAAGGGCTAATTCATATCTGTTTGCAGAAAACATCATCAAGCACCGCCAGGCCTTGATTTCCGCCAACCTCGAACCGTTCGTCATCTTGTACAGATGCCTCAAGGAAGGCTGCCGATACATGAAGGGGTACTATCACAGTTCACCGGACGCCGAAGAGTGCAATAGCATGCTTCTGGGTTCTCTGGTGAGATGTCTCGCAAAGGGCAAGGTAGACATCACCGTGCCAGGCCCTTGCGAGGCCTACAGGGGGAATATTGAAGCGCTGGAGCGGGCAACGAGCACTGTCAAGCTGTTGACAGTCCACCGCCCCTCTCCGGCAAATCAGTGTCTGAAGCGCATAGAAGAGGAGTTGGCAAAGGGCGCGACGGCGGCGGCTATTGCGAAAACAGAGTTGGTGGTTCTTCAGCCGGAGCAACGAGAATACCTTCAAAAGCAAGCTTGCAAAACTGGAGTTGTCATGTCCGGGTAGAGTTTCTGGCGATCGGCATGGGAAAATCTTGGTTTCGTTCATTGCGTTTCGGGGTGCATCTGGAGTTTGGAGAGAAAAAGGCATACCAATGGAAAGCTTGTACGGAGTAATCATGAAGGTTAGATTGGCATGGTGGTTCGATTAATGGCTCGAGTAAGGATAATCAGATGAAAGAGATCAGTCAAAGCCTATCGTGCGTCTGAATGACGAAACGTGTTTCAACGGGATGCGATCTATCAGCCTATGGGAAGGGACGGTGACGTCTGTGTGGCAGGCATGCATGTCAGTCATAGCTCGTGGGTTAATCGTGCTCGAGCATCCCACTTCAATGCGAACGCGATCTGAACGACATAATCAAGATCCGACAACCGGATGAAAGCAAAATCTCATGATACGTAACGCTATATAGATACAAATAACTTTTTTTACCCCAAAACCCTTAGTCGTGAAGCTCCCACGCATGGCAAGATCTTATCCGCCTCGTTGCCCGCTGGCCCAGATGAGGAGAAGATCTTCAACGTTCAGTTGAAGCCAAGGTTGCCGATGGTGACGGACTTGATGTTTTGGTATTCGGCAAGCCCGTACTTGCTGCCCTCCCGGCCCAAACCGCTCTCCTTCACGCCACCGAAGGGGGCCTCAGCGGCGCTGATGAGGCCGGTGTTGACGCCCAGCATACCGCACTCCAGACGTCTGGCAACACGCATCACGCGGGAGATGTCCTTGCTGAAGAAGTATCCGGCAAGACCGTACTCCGTTGCGTTGGCCAGCTCAACAGCCTCAGCTTCCGTCTTGAAAGAGAAGATCGCTGCCAGGGGGCCGAAGGTCTCGTCGTGTGCAACTTCCATATCGGTTGTGACGTTGCTGATGACGGTGGGTTCGTAGAAGTAGCCCTTCAGGCCCTCGGGAGCCTTGCCACCCGTGTGAAGCTTGGCACCCTTCTTGAGAGCATCCTGAACGTGGGCATCGACCTTCTTTACAGCAGCAGCGTTCACGAGAGGACCTTGCGTGGTGCCGTCGTCGATGCCACGGCCGAGCTTGAATTGCTGCACTCTGGCAACGAGCTTGTTGATGAACTCCTCTTGAACTTTCTCATGGACAAGCAGTCTGTTGGCGCACTATGCCATTCAATTAGCATTGCCATGCGAGGATGAACCACTCAGAATGTCTTACCACGCAGGTCTGGCCCGAGCAACGGAACTTGCAAATCAAAGCACCCTCGACGGCCTGATCAATGTCTGCATCGTCAAAGACGATAAAGGGAGCGTTGCCTCCCAACTCCATGCTAACACGCTTCATGGTTCCCGCAGCAGCCTTGGTAAGCATCTTTCCGACTCCGGTAGAGCCGGTAAAGCTGAGCTTCTTCACGATGGGGTTGTTTGCAAGCTCCATCGAAGCCTCTCGGTCCTTCGTCGGGACCACGTGGAGGCAGTCTGACGGGATGCCAGCAGCCAGTGCCAGCTTGGCAAGCGCCAGGGCGCTGAAGGGCGTCTCACTTGGCGGCTTGATGATCACGGAGCATCCTGCTGCAAATGCAGGTGCAATCTTCCTGGTGATCATAGCGGCGGGGAAGTTCCACGGTGTGATGATGCCACAGACGCCGACGGGCTCCTTGAATGTCAGGACGGTAGTGTTGGCGTAGGAGGAGGGGATAGTATCGCCGTAAGACCGAGTCGCCTCCTCGGCAAACCAGGAGATGAAAGACGCGGCGTAGACAACCTCGCCTCTAGCCTCGGCAAAGGTCTTTCCGTTCTCAAGAGACAGGATCAAGGCCACTGAAGACAAGTCAGTCTCGCTTCATAGGCAGTGTCGACGACAACTTGCAGAAGCACTTACAGTCATCGGCATTGGCCATCACAAGATCGTACCATTTTCGCAGAAGGGCACCGCGCTCCTTTGCCGTGGTTGACTCGTAGAACTTCGCCGTTCCCGTCTTGGCGCTCTCAATGGCGTCAACAAAGTCTTGTCTGCCGAGGTTGGCGATCTCTTGAAGGACTGTCGCGCTGGATGGCTCGTAAACTGGGAAAGTCTTTCCATCCTGGCCGTTCTTCCAGTCACCGGCCACGAGACCAGATGAGATCAGGAGGGACTTCTCCTGAAGCTTAGCGAAGACGTCGGCCATCTTATTGAGTTGTTGTGGGGCTGTTTGGCTTTTGGATGTGGGGTATCAAGATGCGATGCAAGCAGGCTCAGCAAGTGTTCAAGTCTGACGACCACGATGTGCGAAGACTGCTCTCTTAAATATTGCTTCTAGACCTTTCGTCGTCTCCCGCATTTTCTCACAAAGTGACTACGTTGCGTTCAATTTCGCATCACCCGATTCTTGCAGGGACCTCAGCCGAGGCCCGGGGAAATGCGGGGACTAAGATCACCGGCAGCCGGGTGGCCCGGATCGTGAAACTTCTTGCCCGATTTGACATCTAAGCGAACGTAATAAGTAGGGTGACAACCCGCTCAAAAGGGTAGAAAATCAGGACACATTCAATTCTCTTTGGATATCCCACGGACCGACCCGATCTCTAGGAGGACGTGAGAAGCTGATTGGCCCCAAGCGGGATCCATAGGAACCTCGAGCTCAGCCAATATGGAGATCTAAACAATGATTGGTGAGTGTAACCACATCGTGCATGGCTTCCGTGACGAGTTGCGGGAATTTTCACGACTTTTCCCGGCCCGGCCTGCTATGATCACCCGGGCCGGTGTACAAAGTGGGGTTGCCGGACCGGACCCACCCGGCAGTCGGCCGGTGACTTTGATGCTCTGGCCCTCGGGGATTGAGCTCAGAGGTTCCGCTGGACCGCAATTCAAGTTCTGACAAATAAACCGAGCAAATATAAACTTCAAACAACATCAGAGAATTCAGCTGGACGCTTCTTCGCATGCATGGCGACCTCAAATGGATGTGTTCACGCAAGATGGCTGCGTATTTCCGATCACTGCGCATAGAGGATGAAGAACAGTCCCGCTGATATTAAAACTATTCCATGCTCAATATCTTCCAACGCTACTCTCAGTAAGAGAACTCCTGATGAACAAGCTTCTCGCTCAACTTCCACAGCTTGTCAGCCTCTACCTTGCTGGTAGCCCAAGGGTAGACTTCTTCCTTGTACGGATCAGCAATGCGACAATCGGTCAGATAGGCCCCGTTCTTAGCCGGTGCGCAGATAGTCGTGTTGAATGCGGCTAAGACATGGGTCGAAACTCCTTGGTCCAGATCCTTCCTTCTGACGCCGTCGAATCCCCACATAGTCTTGTTTCCATAGATTCTGTGGGCTTCCATGAGATCGCCGATGAACGCCGCCAGGTTGTCAGCTTCGTGACTTGCAAGGTTGGTGGTGATTTGGCCGGGGCAGAGAGAGAAAGCCAGAAGTCCTTTATGACCAAGTCTGTCTGCAAGGCCGAGGGCCATTAGAGCATTTGCCGTCTTGGACTGCCCGTATGCAAACCACTTGTTGTAGTTCTTTCCTTCGTTGAAGTTGTAGTCTGTCCAGCGAATGTGGCCAACACTGTGGCCCATACTACTGACACATATCACCCTGGGAGCACCCGAAGGCGAGGCCAAAAGCTTGTCCATGATGAGATTGGTGAAGAGGAAGTGGCTCAGGTGGTTGGTCTGGAATTGGCTTTCAAACCCGTCGTCGGTCAAGGCATAGGGGACCGCCATGATGCCGGCGTTGTTGACTAGTATGTCGATATGCGGGACATCGTCCCACGACTTGACGTTCTCGGCCGCTTTGCGAACGTCGGCGAACGAGAGAAGATTCAACGGAAGGGTTTTAACCTTGACTTCCGGATGAGAAGATTTGAGCTCATCTATCAAGTCTTGCATCTTGGCAACGGATCTCCCAGCCAGAATGAACATGGCCGGCTTTCCGGCTGCAACCTGACGAACGAAGCTGTCACCAAGGCTGCCGGGAGACGGGCCGGTAACGAGAATGGTTTTCCCAGCAACCTCTGAAGCATAATGTCGGACTAGGTCGCTGGCTCTGGTAGTGTTGTCGAGAGTGGGCTTCATGTTGGCTTCGAATGTAGTGCTGAACGCTAGCCGCAAAAGAAAGATAGATGCTTGATAGATGAGAGTTGAGGGCTTTCATGTCATGAACGTGGAACAAGGCGGGTTCAAATACTTCTTGCTCCCGAGCACATAGGTTCATAGCCCACATGCGCCATATTCCCATACTGCACATGGAACTTCTAGGGGTAAAGGTACCAAAATTTCCTTTATGGTCTCAGTGCATCAAAGCTGTAACGGATGTTGCGGATGATGAAGATGTACGGTGTACGATTACAATCCGTACTATCAACGAGGGTAGAATTGGCGCATTTCGCGCAGACGGACGGATTGATAACCGTTAAATCCGGGAAGCCTGATCTGTGATCGAAGTTCTAGATCAGAACATCAATCGTAGGCCTTTAAGCTTTTGCTATTCGCAAATAGCCGATTGCTCAGTAATCCAGAAAGTTGGTCCAGGCCTTAGCATAGCTCCAGCGAACTACGTAATATTGCGGACTGACTCAGGAAACCGAGGCGGACTTGCGAAGATCAACAACTCTTTAAAACCCTGTAGAATCCTGCCAATCACGGGGATAAAGGGTTCCTGCATTAACTCCGCTAATCCACCAAGACTGTAGGTGATGTCCATGATCGATTTTTCTCTATATTACTTCTCTCTACACGCCAGTAAGCAGACACGCCGCACTCACTGACTGAGAGGCAGATCGTATTGTTGTTGTCCTACATTCGACGACTAGTAAACAAACGAACTTGCTTTACGTTCCCACTATCTCATTCTCAAGCCATCATACATCTAACAGCACCTTAGCTCTAATCACTTGTGCAGAGGTTATGGAAGGCTGCAGCGCGCACAGCAAGCTCGCCTTGCTCCAGGTTTTGGCTGAAAGCAACCAATCAAGGGTAGCTAGCATATTGTACAATTATTGCCATGCTCCCTTGCCTCTAAAGTGAGATGAACAGCACAAAGCGGTACGTCTTGTCCAGGCAAAAGGTTTGCGTATGTGCGCTGGGGCACTCTATTACGAGGGACAGTTCCCACGTAGAATATTTCAGTCTATGATCTGACTATTTCATTTCTCCGCTAAGATGCCACAAAACGTCGTTCGTCTTCGCACATTAGCCGTGGCACCAGCAGTCGCAGCTGCCCTCAGGGTTGGCCATGGAAATGGAATTTGCTGTTTGACACTATGCATTGTTAGCGAGCAATGCAGACACGAATGACTTCTATCACTCACCGTTCCCTCGCAACGACTACTGCAAGCCGTTCTATCAGCTTCACCACAGTTGCTCTCCCACTGGTCCAACATTAGTTCCATTTCTTCTGGTAGGGAATCAGGGTCTTGTGTTCTTACTTCAGCTGGGTGTGACTTGAAGCAATGGACATCTCTGACAGCTGCAGCTGCCGTTGAGATGTGGATCGCAGCAACGATCCAAGCAAGGCTGCTTAACTTCATGATGAAAGAAATAATAGTTGTAGGTTGAGTCTGCAGAGGAAGCAAATGCTGTTTCCATCATGGATGAATTCGCGGCCTTTAATAACGAAGTGGCTGCGCGTGTTGCTCGGGTAGCTCGCTTACACCATGACTCGCCTGAAGCTGTTCATCGCCATTGAAGGATCTATTTCGGGGAAGACTCTCGCGGTCGTCCCACGACTTTGGCAGAGGGACATGCCGCTCTTTACAGTAACCCCGGGAAATGAGTCTTGGCGGGTTCGTCTCAACGTTAAAGACTGTGTTTCATGAGTCGGATTTCATCTAGATACAGTCACTAACAAAACCTTATTCCCTCGCCCATGATAATCGCACTTCCCCCACAACCGCGTGACCTTTACCTCAGTCTTGGCTTCAGCGTTACGTCAATCTTAGTTCACATCATCACTAGGACCACTGTTTCTCTATAGACGCAGAAATTTTCATCACCTTCACCGGGACGTGTGATTCTAAACACCACGAGTTGCTTGGCAACTTATCCTTTAATGGCATACAATCTATATTGGTATAACCGCCCTCATCCAGCAACTATTCAGGGGCGAAAAGTAAAGCCTTCCGTGACGTCTAGCACAAGAATTGACTTAGTATCCTTCGGGCAAGAGCTTGTTGAGACGTGCACCTCATGCTCACCCGCCTCTACTTCCCACAGTCTCCCAGCCTCGGACCAGAACGCAGCACCATCTCGTTTGAAACTCAATTGAATATCTTTCTGTGCACCTGGATTCAAATGAATCTTGTCGAACGCCACAAGAGCCTTCGGAGGTCTCTCGACTCCGGTCCGTGATTTCGGGGGCAACACGTAGACTTGCACCACCTCAGACCCTGCGACGTCGCTGGTGTTATGGACTGTGACAGCGACATTAATCTTGGCATTCTCATCATTTGCGTCCAGGGTGCCCGATAGCGCGCAGGCCGAGTGCTCAAATGTGGAGTAGCTCAGGCCATAACCGAATGGGAACAGGACTTCTTGCCCTGTGCCATACTGAGAATCGAAGTGCCTGTAGCCAACGTTGACACCTTCGACATACTCCACCTCTCTGCTGTCCCAACTGTCGAGGCCAAAGTGGCCGTAGCACGCTGTGTGTTCATTCTTTTTGGGCCAAGACATGGGAAGCCTCCCGCTCGGATTGACCTCGCCAAGAAGCACATCAAGGATTGAGTTTCCAGTCTCTTGCCCACCATACCAAGCCTGGACGACAGCTGCGACGTTGTCAAGCCATGGCAGCTCTACTGGCACTCCCGTGGTAATAACCACTATGGTGTTGGGGTTGACTTTGGCGACCTCAGCGATCAGCTTGTCTTGGGAGCCATCAGCTGGGAGGGTCATAGTGGCCATGTCCTGGCCTTCGGTTTCCCATTGCGGGGTGTTTCCGACAAAGATGAGGGCAACATCAGCGTCTGTTGCGAAGCTCACCGCTTCAGACAGTAGATCGGCTTCCATCTCCTGTTGACTGACGAATCCGAGATGCACCGCGATCTGGTCATCCGCAAGATACAGCTCTGCGTTCGGAACTGGCGAAATTGTTGATTCGATGACAATGCTGTACGTCTTTCCGACCACGAAGTCATACTGGAGATGTTGCTCCTCCTGCACGCCTAGAAGGAAGGACATTGCTTCTGCGGTTTCTTTGATCTCGCCTTGAAACTCGCCATTGATGAAAAGTCGGGCAGGCCCCATACCCGAGAAGCTGAGGTAGTGCTTTCCGCTTACGTCTGGACTGTACTCGGTGCTAAGTCTCGCGGACTTTGCGCTGACAACATTGTCATTCATGAGAGTCATGAAGCTTCCTCTAGGGTACTCCTCGGTACAAAACGGCTCTCCAGTGAGATCCAAATTCTCGTAGAAGTCCGCAGCAAAGCCAGGATTGCCCAATCGGTTTCGTGTTCCGGCAACGAAATCAGGGTATGCACGAAAGACGTGGGCTCCTACAGCAAAAATATTGATCAGCACTGTCCCGAGCATGAGCGTCAAATTAGCAACATACCCTTGGAGTATGACAGTTTACTATCATGGAGGCGTGACTTGATAGCATCAAAGGGGCTGATCTTGTAATGACAGTTCAATGATGCACTACCGCCTCCGTGGGCAGCTGCATGTTTTGCAAGAGGCCCAAGCACGGCGATATTTTCGAGATGAGATGGCTTAAGAGGGAGAGCGCCGTGAGAGTTCTTCAGCAGAACTACGCATTCTCCTCCAGCTTCACGAATAAGCTTCTCATGCTCCGGACGACTGATGGCGCGCTCCGGGACCGGTTCCCTTCTGTCGGTAAACTTGCCTGTCTGGCGTAGAAGCTTAAGAAGAGGTAGCACACGCTCGTCAATGTCTTTGACGTCAACCTTTCCATCCTCAATGAGCTTGTGTACCACAGCAGGCTGCCTCCGGTGCGGTGGTCCCGGCATTTCAAGATCGAGACTCGAGCATGTTAGTCGGGGGGGATGTAGATTTCGCAAGTTGCTACTCACCCATTTCGAATACCATTCGCTATAGCAGCCGACGCGGCACCCCAGTCGGTCATGACCAGCCCTTTGAATTTCCACTCATCGCGGAGGATGTCTTTCAGAAACGTGGTCTGGTCGTCGACGTAGGCACCGTTGACCTTGGGGTAGCTCGTCATGATACACCATGGATCAGCTTTTTTGATAACGATCTCAAAGGGGCGGAGATAAATCTCCCTGGTCTCAAGATTAGCCGTGGCAGTTCCACCGAGGCAGGAAAAAAGATATTTCACCTCATCGCTCGCTCTGATACCGTCTCGTTGACAGTGAATCGCCGAGTGTCTTGCTCATTGATGGCGAAGTGCTTCACAGTCGCCCCAATACGCTGACTTTGCAGCCCCAACACATACTCAGAGGCGAGTTCTCCAGTGAGAAACGGATCCTCGGAGAACGATTCGAAGTTGCGACCCCCTAAGGGTGACCGATGAGGGCAGACTGTCGGGCCAAGAAGGACATATGCGCCTTTGGTTTGGGTTTCCTGTCCTAGAGCGACGCCGATCTGTCTAGCAAGGCTACGGTTGAATGTAGCTGCCAAAGAGACACAAGCTGGGAAGCATGCTGCGGTGGTACCGTCCGTAAATTGGGCTCCTCTCGCGCCATTCGGGCCATCTGAAACCTGATAAATATTAGTACCAGGAAGTTGACGGTGCTGGTAGACTGTAACTTTGGATGATTACCTTAAGTGAAGGAACATGAAGACGCTCAATTTCAGGAGTCTCCCAGGTATTTTTTCCTGAAAGAAGTAACACTTTCTCCGCTGTTGTGAATTGGGACAGAAGAGCTAGGAGCTCCTTGTCGGAAGGTGCAGCAGTCATGATAGTGAATGTAAATCAAACCGATAATGACGAGTGAGGGAGAGGTCAGTGCATCGCCCTAGACTCAGATTTCAGGTGAGGATGGCAACCATATGTTCCTCATATCGCGGAACCCGGACGTGACAGTGGTTAAGATTGCCATTCGAAGGGTAAATCTTCGGCTCATCTATGGGCTTATGACGCCGAATTCATGCAAGTGGTCACAAAATCGAGTTCTATGCCTGTCATGCGGGGTCGGATTCACCAATCGGGCGTTGGAGTCGGCGTAATCCTCCGCTGCAGAACGCACACTATCATGCTCTTGGCTAGTCGCCGAGCTGCCCAGACAATAGAAGTATTGGAAGGATGAGACCACAACCCATCCCACTGGAGTCCTTAAGCCGAGGCTCTGCCGTGGTGGCTATGGCGATCCCATTTACGCCAGTTCGTGATCACGCTGAGACCCAGACGCGGCCATGGCCCGGGGGTGGGAGCATGCCGGAAAACCGGATCCGCGTTTTCGGGGTTACGGCGGTACCCCCTTCCCCATGGGGTTTCAAGATGGCATGGTGCAATGACTCGATCCTGGTAAATGGGAACGCCAAGGACTTCAACATGGCCATTATTGAGAACTATTGCAAGTTCAGACTACGAGACGGAAAATCATATCCCAAGATACGGGCATAGAAATGGAATCCGAAGTGACTGACGGGTTTACTTCGGCAGGAAGCTGATCGAGCAATAACTACACCAGTGTAGCTGAAAAGTAGGGCTCCGGCCGCTTTGTGTAAGACAAACTTCATGTCAGGATTTATGCTGGCATCCAGCTGTTGTGGTTGCACAGCTCAGTTTTAACAGCAAGCACTTTCAGCGTCGATTACTGTGCCAAGATAGTTTCCTACCTCGATTACACGTCACTTTCAAGATGTCAGAGGAGAAGGAGACCACCGCAACCCATGTCGAAGACGGGGCCGAAAATGAGCCGGCCGTTCTCGCAACTTCGTCATTGGCGGCTCGCTTCGAGCATCGGCAACATACGCTGACCAGGATAGAATCCATCAAAGAAAACATACGGCCACTTGTGTGGTGTAAGTTCCTGTGTGGAAGCGCCCCTTAAGCAACGTTTTTGTACTGAATGAGCAGGTCTTTACATGTTCTTCCTTTGCATCACATGGGGCTTCGACGGTCTAGCAGGCGGCATCGTTGTGTCGATCACCGAGTTCCGCAAAGACTTTGGCACGCCATACGGGGATGACTACGTTGTCAGCGCTACCTGGCAACTTGGCTTCCAAGCAGCCACTATCTTTGGTGAGGCACAGTGCCCTTCTAGATTTTGCCGATCTCAAACTTACAATATGTGTCATTAAGCCATGACACTTGGTGCATTCGTGGCTGGTTTTGCTATCAATCGGTACGGCCGCCAACCTGTTGTTCTTGCAGCATTCGTTCTCTCAATTGCGGGTACCTTTCTACAGTTCTTCAGCAAGAACCTTGCCGAATTTGTAGGAGGAAAGATCTTGACTGGTCTCGTATGTGTATTCTCGTCGTCCCTCGACTTCAAAAAGCTGACTTTACTGTTTGCGTAGCCTTTGGGAGTTTTTACGACAGCAGCTCCACCATATGCCTCTGAAATGGCACCCCTCACCATTCGTGGATCAGTTGCTGCGGGCATGAACTTCTCCATCGTTCTCGGTCAACTCATTGGCTACGGTGTCATGCGGGAAGCAAGTCATTATGGTGATGCACGAGCATACAAAGTGCTATTTGCAACACAATGGGGTTTTGCCGCGGTGGCTCTCGTCTTCCTGCCCTTTTTTCCAGAGTCTCCCTACTGGCTAGTTGCACACGGCCGAGCTGAAAAGGCGAGGAAGAATTTGGAGCGACTCCACAATTCTACGTACGATTATGATGGACATATGGCTGAGATTCAAGAGTCTCTCGCTCGACAAAACCAAGACAATGACTCTCAGGGGTCGTATTTGGAATGCTTTTCAAAGACTGCCCGAAAAAGAACCCTGGTCGCAATTGGCATGTTCTTCATTCAAAATGCCAGCGGCCCTGGATGGGTCGTGGGTTACATGAGCTGTAAGTTGTGGATGCCCCTCTTGGGGATTCTCTTCTAAATTGTTTCTGTGTACAGACTACTTCCAATTAGCTGGTATGGCGCCAGCTGCATCCTTCGATACTACGGTTGGCTTAGCCGGCTTGATGGCAATCGGTAACATTGTCGGATGGTTCTTTGTGGACTATTTCGGCCGCCGAGGAACAGCTCTCTATGGATCCATCATCCTCACCATTACGCTGTTTCTTATCGGTGCATCCTCGTTGGTTAAGACGCAAGGAGCGGTCTGGGCGCAGGTTGTGTTCATGGCCATTTGGTCTTTCTGTGAGTGATTCCGTCAGATGGAGTCGGCGAGCATGCAATCACAGTTCACTGATCAAAGTCAAGCCTATCAAGGAACACTCGGCGCTGTCGCATGGCCCATCGCTACCGAGGCAGCAACAAGCCGATTGAGAGCTCCAACTCAAGCCCTTGCAATCACTGCTAATGGGTTGTCAAGCTCAATTTGGACATTGAGTCTGCCCTATGCCATTAATCCCGATCAAGGTAATATCTTTTCCTTGTCCTCGACGATGAGCATTCGGATTAAAGTGAAACAGGTAATCTCGGTGGAAAGGTGGCGTTCATATTCGGTGCCACTCTAGCCGTATGCTGCGTCTTCATTTTCTTCATGGTTCCTGAGACCAAAGACCGCACTTACATCGAGATCGACGAGCTCTGGACGCGGAAGGTTCCTCCGCGAAAATTCAAGAGTACTAACCTTGTTACGCTTCCAAATGACAAATAGTTGTCAAATTGGGATGAAATTACAAACTTCTGTATAGTTGGAATCTATGAAGTTACTTCTTTGACTGCACTTTTGAGCTACCAAGGCATTGAAAATATCACATGCCCAACACGTGGGGAATTCCATTTGACCAAATTCTTGGCCTAGACTTCATGCGTGACAAACAGAGAATGAACAATATCGACTTCATGTATCAATTGGCCCATCTGGACCCATAAGCTTGACCTCGCGAAGCTTCATGAACTCCACTTCATTGCATCCTATTGAGAAGCCAATTATATCATGACAGCTCAGATTCCCGTCGTCGTTCTTCAAGGTTTTGTCTACCCATGATTGTCGATCAGTCTTCGGGTCAAAAGCATGGTCACATCGAACGACCTACTCAGATTTACAGTCGGCTCTGACCACTGCTTTGGATATTCTCCGTGGTGACACAAGCATGTCAATTCCGTCGTCAAGTCATTATACTCGCATCTCTGGCAGCTTTTGCGGAAGGCACCACTTGAGACACGAGACCGTTAGCTTGAGCTTGAGTTGAGACACCCTTTTGGTATGTAATATTTTCCTGTGGAGAGAGGGCCTTGCGACGAACGGATGCGGCAGATGGATGAAACGGCTTGAACTTACTGACTTCGAGCCACAAGTTGGCCATCGATGTTGGAATAGCACATTGTCAATGGCAGCCATGTGCAATAGTCATCGCCGTCACTGCTTGTGCACCTCGCGACCAGGTATGGCGAGGTTTTGTATTTGTTTCCCCAGATAGAATCTGGGTCCCAGAAACGAATCTCAGCGCAGGTGTCGATGAAGCCCCCGAGTGTGTGCGCTGTCTGTATTATGCAAATAAGAGACAAGATACAGGTGCTCAACGCCATGGTCCAACTACCCATTCCAAGGCACTGATTCGATGCAGAGAGGGCCGCGGGCGGTCTCTAGTCCAAATTGAAATAGCTCGAGTACTGGGCACAGAAACAAATCAATCAAAATTTGGAAAGAAGCCACCTGAGAGATTTTAGATGATATAGCAGTCGGTGCAGCTCCCGCCTCGTCGACAGTCTCGTGCGACATGAAATGGCAACAAGCCATCCAACTGCAAAGATGCAAACGGATGCTGCAACATTGTACGTGGCAAGCCCTGGCATACCCTAATTCCCTTTGGTGTCGCCCGAACCTCTTTTACGGTTTCTTACGCGATCTGATTGCGTTACCCTTTTCCTTTCCGAGTTTCTGTTTGCAGAATACCAATGCAACGGATGTTCAACAATGGTGGCATTTCTGCCCGAGGTATCGAATTGGGTGACAGACAGGCGGGATAAGATCTCACACGTGCTGACAATTAGTCGAGGTCCTGATCCCTCCTGGGATTGAAGTGGTCATCCCCAGAGCATGTAACTTGACTGCTTTATTGCAATCTCCCTAAGGTGCAGTTGTGGTAACTGAACCTCATTCGCCATAGTTCCTCATCAGTTAAGAACC